AATCAGTTTACACCCATGATTTACGGGGATCTACCAATGACACTGTGGCTGCTACAACAAAATCCCCTGTGTAGTTTGGGTATTTATCATTCTGGGAGCCAGGAAGGTTGGGCTCTGCTGGAATTTCTCTGCCTGGCTGGTGACAGCCTTCACCCTGTGCCTCCCATGGTAGAGAGCAAGCTCTGGCGCCTCCTACGTGGGCACTGATCTCACCATAGTGGACCTAGCATCATGAATTCATCTAACTACTGTACTTCCCAGAGGTCCACTCTCATTTCATCACATAGTGTTACGGCTTCAGCATATGAATTTGGGTGGGAATAAAGACAGTAAGAGGTGTCCTGAGGACCAGGATCTATGTAGTTTGTCAACTTCTGTATTCCTGTCTTGGCTGCTACATAGAACCGGTAATGTACAATGAACATACAAAGTACTTAGAATTGAACTGATATGTCCATTTTTATATATAGACACCTAATTTATTTTCATATTAGTTTGCACACAAGTAGCTTAAAGATCTTACTGATGAGTTTGGAGAAGCAGATGTCAAACTGGGGTAATTAAGTATACAAAGATTGGAAAACTCTTGCCAAGGTAAATGGAAGGAGCAGGAATAAGAGAGCCCTCCCATGCCAGTGAGGGCTCCCAGGTGTCTTTTATGCTTTTAGCAAAACACCAAATTCATTTGTCAGCATGTCTGTAACTTTTGAATCAATAATCATATATGTGAAATGGTGACTGGTGTTTATTTGTGCATGTTAGGTTCTAGAACTGTTTCCATATTGGTTTCTTCAAAGACATGGTGAGGTTACTTCTTTCACTGGATTCTGTTCCCTGGACATGAAAGGGGAGGAGAGGGAAAGAGAAGGAAAGTTGAAAGAAAGTGGAAAGGACGGAGTTCTGTTGACACTGTTGAAAATGTACTGTTTCTCTGCCCATTCTCCTGAGGTTTTCCCCTTCTCCCCTTTATTTTTATCTGAGTAAATGTAAGGAAATTCTTTTTTTGACTACTATTTGAACTTCCTAGCAATAAACTGTGGGGTGTATTTTAATTTTTTTCATTTCCGCCCTTGGTAGTGGTTATTTCCTCATTGTTTTGTTTGGTTTTCTTGAAACAGGGTCTCACTATCTAGTCTGGGCTAGCCTACAGCTTGCTGGCCACCAGAGTGCTGGGATTAAAGATTATAATTAACTTTATTAGTTTGTTTTTTGTAAAATAGTTATCAGCTAAACCTGTTTCTTTTTTATAATTTATTTACTTGTTTTTGTAGTAATTTCTAAAAATCAGCTTTTTAAAAAACTTCCATAGTTGTTTTTCTCATTTTACATAAACATTTATAATCACTTAATACAGAAAGCTGTAATTAAGAGGAAATTTTCCAGGAATTGTGTCATCAGAGATAACCAGGTAGTAATCTTGAGTGTTTTTCCTGTTGCTTTTTGGTGCATACATAGTCTGAGTGTATCTGTGTACCAGTACTATTTAAGCATCCCCTGTGTTAAATGTATGTACACTTTATGTACTATAGGCACATAGTGCATATATATACATATATATATGTATGTAGCTATATTTCACAAATATCTCCGTATCTATATATTATAGTCATCATGGAGACAGAGGGGCCACCATCCTCATGCTGATTCGAATCTTGGGACAGATCTTTCCTAGAGGGTATGAAAAATGCTTCTTACATAATTGACCTCCTTAGAGAGCAGCAAAGTACCCCCAAGCAGGTCTGAAAGATTAGGCAAAATCCTGGCAAGCGTAAGTTTACTACAGAGCAAACATCAGATGGGAGACCGATTCCCTCGTACCCTCTCTCCACCTGTGTGACTATATAGCTATGTCTGTGTACACCTGCACCTCTTTATAGCTCCACACTTCCACTGCAACCACTGTCAACGTGAGATAACCGCATTAAGGGCATAGGCTTCTGTTGCTCAGATGCGCCATGATGCAACAGGCATTGCCTAAGTGATGAGGAATTGTTCATAGTTCACCAGCAATGGAATGCTGAAGGTGTGCTCAATACCTAGGAGCATGTGCCATCATCTCAATCTTTCAAGATAGACGTTGAGCTCTTATGTTCTAGACGCTGCATAACTGTTCCTACCTTCCTTGCCTGGTCTCCATTAGGATGACCTCAAGCAACATTATTGTTATGGAAAGCTGTAAAATAGGAAAAAGAAATATTGTACTGATGACGTGGCTAGAAAAGGAAACACGTGAGACATAGAAAGAGACTCCAGAATACGTCTGGGGAAAATACCAAATTTTAGAGGAAAAATGTTGTTACTTATGGGCTCAAAGGTAATTTTTATCTTAATTCCAGCACACTGGGAGGCTCTGGGTTCTATCCCCAGTACCTACCACACACTTACTATTGTCAAATATTTATGTCAATATTTACTTATTATGAGGTGATAACTTCATTTCCTTTGGATTCATACGCAGCAGGGTTTGTGCATTCTAGGTTTAGGAACCTGCAGTGCTTTGCATAATGGCTGCCCCAGTCTACATTTCCAACCAGTGTGTAATGGTTTCTTTCTTGGTCTTGATAACCCTCCCTTGCCCCGCCCTGCCCCTACTGTGCTAGAAGAGGAAATCAGGGCCTTGAATGTGCTAGGCAAGCACTGTACAGCTGAGCTACAACCCCACCCCTCTGCTGTTTTGAAAATAGCTATACTAACTGGTGAGAGATGGCCTCTTCTTGTGGTTTGCTTTTGCATATCCCTGTTAATGATGACTGTTTTAATATGCCCAAATCTATTCCCAAACAAGTTTCCCTGTTTCTCTTCATTACCAAAGAGAGGATAAACTTTTAAACCTTCATCAGCCTGGTAGACGGTACAGCACATCATGCCTTCAGCTGCACAGTCCATTGAGTTAAGCATCTTTCATTATCCCTCTTTTGTAAGACTGCTTGCTTATGTGACTTCCAATGTAAGGTGCAGTCATGTAACATTATAATTCTTATCAAAGAAGTCTAATTCTAATGGAAATCAAAGCCACAGTAGGATCCTTAGAAATCAATTTGGGGAAAATGATAAGGTTGATCTGAATAAAACATCAACATGTAAGAAGTATCACAAGACCTGAAAACAATGTAGTGGGGAAACCCAGGGGATGGGGCTTCATTACTTAAGAATCATTTACCACGAACTTGCAAGTCCTGAGAGCAGTAATTTTGGTGTCAGAGAAGATTATGGATGCTACCTATGAAAACTGGGTTGTATGCTGATTTTTACACTTAGGCATTACTCAGGATTCATACTTGCACACAGATATTGTAAAATGGGAAGAAACTGTTCAAAAGAAGATAGAAACTGGCATGGAGGAAGGAGAAAAGAAAAAAAAAAAACAAAAAACACAAAACAACTCCGCCCCAACCCAAGCATGCATGCACGCGCACATACACACAGATAGTTAAGGTATACTACCAATTTCTCTAAATTCATTGAAAAAGACAGGTTTGAGTTAATATTGTTTGGACAATAAAATGTCTGTCTAGTATCCTGAGTAACTAAATATTACAATACCTAAAGTATTAATCATTGTTACTCTATAACCCAGTTTTCTAATTTTTATCTTTAAAATATTTAAAAAGCATACTTGCAAATAACAAATTAACTTTAGTTAGCTTAGGCAGCTAACTAAACTTACTCTATCCCAGTAAGTTATCAGTAAAAATACAGGATTACTAGAATCGCTATGAAGCAGAACCTTGTACCCTAGGAAAGCCAAAAATAGGTAGCTGCCATCTCTGGCCCTGGCCTCAACCATCATGGTCTCAGGTCACCCAGAAGAGAGGTGAAGATTCACTCTGGCAGTAACGGTATCCAATTACAGAGGTGGCAGCAACAATAGACTCATGCCCTATTTTGGCATGCTTTGGTCGTTGTTCAACCAGTTGGTCTCTCTTGGTTTCTATTCCTTTTCCAAACCTAGTTTCCTAAACTTCTCTTTCTCAACATTCAACACAAACTCTTGGTTAGGAAAGGCTATATTTTGGGAAACATCAGAATAGAACCTATCATTTGCAAGCTCAACTACAAATAATCAGTGAAGCTAACATTATAGGTCCCATTTGTTTGGAATTATTTACCATTTTAGAATGTAGTAGGTTCCCCAACTGGGCGTCTTAAGGGAATCTAAGCAGTGGCAGTAATTAATTCGAGGCTCGCTGTCACTTCTATGTGAATCTGAAACAAGTCGGTTAGTGTAGGCTCCTCTAAAAATAAGGAGGTTGGACCAAACTAGGTAGTTTTTAGTTCTTTCCAAACTGCAACATTCTGAGTCTACAGAGCCTTGCTGTTGCTAAATCACTTCAAGAATCAAGTGTCCTTGTTAATATTAGTTAATAAAAGCCAGGCTTGGTGGTACATGACTGCAATCCCAGCATTCAGGAAGCTGAGGCATGATCACCCCCATGAATTCAAGGTCAGCCTGGGCTACATAGTGAGACACTATCTCAAAAAACCAAAGATTAGTTGACAAATACCAAATGTTGGGCTATTTGCCAAACTTAGGCACAGTCTTGGAGAAAGTGAAGTATTAGTGTTTGAATTATCTGAGCCAAAAGATGTAGACAGAAGAAACCCATTATTCACTGTGGAAAAAAGGACACCAACTAGGAAGCTCTCAGTGCCACACAGGCACTGAAACACAAGCTGTATTAGCGATCTTCTGAGACTCTGAAACACTCTTTTTCAAACCACCTGCATTTCACAGGTGTCACCAGGTGTCGTTAGACATTAAACAAGTGCACTGGTAGAAGGGGTGGGAAAAGAGGCTCTCCCTCATTTTCCTAGATACTTAAATTTGTTCTAGAGGGTAAAGAGGAGGCTAAACTGGCTGGTGCACATTAATGCCAGTCACACCAGTTCCTACATGTTGGCCTAAGTAAATCAGTGTCAGGAACTCCTACCGTATAGAACTGGCATAAAAAGATGAGGGATGTTTGGGACCAATCACATCATTCTCTTGTGAACCACAGGTCCTTATGAACGCATCATTCTTGGGGGCCCTGTGCCTTTTCTCATCTGTCTGTGTTGTGTGTGCCATTTCTGCATTTACTCTTCCCATTGAGACCAAAGGACGGGCCCTGCAGGTAAGTAATATGGGACGCTCTTAGCAGTTCTCAACTACAGTATTATCACTTTTTGACCAAAGAAAATGAATTCAGTATGGGCACACTTCTTTTAAGCTTATGCAAATAATTTTAGTGGGTTCCAAAAGAAAAACTCTGGTCTTTCTTGCATCTACTATGAGTAGTACCAGGGTCAAATTATTCCCTGTATCTCCGGTAAGAGTCCAAGGCTAAAATTTAGTGTGGCATCAACTGTGGTCCATTATAGTAGTTACAGGCTTACCACATTTAAAAAAAAAAAAAAAAAAAAAAAAAAAAAAAAAAAAAAAGCCCCAAAAGTACATGCTATGGCAAAATTGTAAGAGAAAGCCTTCCTAGTATTCTGTCCTTACAACTGGATTTGGCAGAAAACATCTAGCTCAGCACTGACCTTCTCCTGCCTTAAGCTTGTGGCTGGTACATGGTAATGTCTGGGGAATAATAACTGAGATTACTGGCTGACTCTGGGCTGTTGCCCAGTCTCCCTGTCCTATTAGTAAGCAGTAGACACAAGAAAGGTGCAACTGCACAAGGAAAAAACAAAACAATACAAAACACAACCAGGTGGCTCATCCAGGTCTCTACCTTTTGTCTTGTTTAATCACATTTTAGGTGACCTGTCATTTAATTATTAGCTTAGGCTTTGTCTAGTTCTTTCTTTGGACATCAGTGAATGCATTAAATCACACCATGAGCTGACTCATAATTCTTTATCACTGAAGATCGAAAGGAAGCATATTCATTTATTCATATACACAAACTAGGGCACAAGGAAGCTGAATAACTTGTGAAAGGTATACTAATATAAGGGTGCTGAGTCTCCTGGTTTTCTATTCTTTTCCAATTTTCTGCAATGTTTTAAGAAGTATTAAAAATAATGCATACAAGAAACAGGGCTCACATGTTAACACGGCTTAGATTTCTAATTCGAGTCGTATCTACCTCTAAAGGACTGGTCCCATTTTTGTTTACTAGGTTTTGGCTCTAGAGTTATGGTGATCCTGTGTATTTTTTTACAGCTCTTTTACTATCATTTTCTTAGAATCCTAAGGTTCAATAGATAAGTACAAGCACACTTGACACACATACCTCAGTGCTGTGAACAATTACCATATGCAGAAGACTCCAACTCACAAATGCGGTTTCTGAGCCTAATTATAGAGTATGTATGATCTTATACAGAAAGTTCACAAGTCAAGGACTGACTGTAAAGTTTCTAAAAATTTTACAAGAATGTGTCAAAAGTTTTTTTTTTAACTTCAGCGACAGATTGTACTCCAGTAATTTTACTGGATAATACAGCCTGGACTAATTTAAGCATAATGTCAATTTGTTAATTTTTCTAAATCTCTGTAATGGACTACAGTAACAAAATTATAGAATTATGATGATTACATTTCTAGGTACACAAAAGTTAGTGATAAATCTCAGTTTCTCAAATTTTGCTAAAGAACCTTTTATTGTTGGGTTCCTAGAGTCAGGTTGGTATGAACACTTTAAAAAGTCTTTAAAAAAGTCTTGACCTATTATTTTTTTTTTTCCTCTTCTAGCAAATTAAATGAAGACCTGAAAAAATGGATCTACCCAGGGAAGATTATTTTCATGGAGCTGTGGCACATTTTTAAAACCTTGATTTTTAATTTCTCTGTGTTATTTAGTAGTTAATAAACATGTATTCAAAAAAGAAAAAAAAAAGATGCACGTGTGAATGCAACTGAGTAGCTATTCACATACTATTACTCAAGAGGGGAGAGCAACATAAACTTTTGTAAGGTAAACTTTAAGAATGAAAAGGTAACAAATGGACACTGTTGCAAGATGGTTTTTCTTCTGTGAGATCAATGAATAACCCTTAAATCCAAGACAAAACATACACTGGTGTCTCTCATGAGATCTGTAGCTAAGAACAAGGCTACTATCAGTAATTTTTTCAAACCCACTAGAATAGTCATCCAGTTCCAATTATAATTAGCTTATTTAAAAAACTTGAGAGATGATTAAATTAGTCCATCTTATATAGAATCATCAAGCTTTGAATAAACTTCCCATACACTTCTTATTTTTACTCTAATATCCTAGTTGGGAGGGGATTTCTGATTATATGATAAAAATTAAACAACGCAGCAAGCCTTCCTGTATCACAAAGTGTCTCCATGCTGTATCCTTCCTACCTGGGGAGGCAAGCTGTGGAAAGACATTTTATCCCTATTGCTGCTCAATGTAGAGGTCTACTAAGTTAAGGACCCCAAGGCTAGCTCACAACCAATGAAATTTTGTGTTACTGAACTATGTATGCAAGAGGTTTATGCCTCTGCTTAGACCCAAACCCTCAAGTTCCTTATACAACATCAAGTTGCACATAACTTAGGGATATTCTCATATATAGACATTTAAGTAATCTCTACTGATAATTACATATAGGATTTGACATTTTTTCCCAAATATTTTTGATCTGCAATTAGTGTAATCTATGGGCGTGCTCATGAATACAGAGGGCCAATTATATTTTAAGCTTTGTAAGCTTTATATGGGCTGTTACAACTAAAACTTTCTTAGCTTTCAAGCATAAAAATAGTCTGAGTTTGTCAAACAAGAAAACATTCTTCAAGTCTAGTTATAAAGTTTTAAACCAAAATGTATTTGATGCAAAGATGCTACGGCTACACTTGTAGAGTTAGCCCAACAACCTACCACAAGCCGTAACTATAAATCCCAAAGCTGAAGTTAGCAGCTGTTTATAATAAAAATCAAATGCTAGTAGCAGTGATCAATGACCAGCCAACCAGTGAGGAAGCCAGTTTTAAAACATCTTCCCAAGAACTGCAGAACTCGGTATCTGGGGATCTCTAGGTCTAAGGAGCTGTACAGTGCTGCCCAGCACTGTCTAGTACCCAGCTTCTGATACATTGGTCTACAGCAAACTATAAACAGAATTTTAGTTGAACACCAAAATTAAACAAATTCTTGATAATTCATGTGGGTTGCTTACCAATACTAGTCATACTTACCAATATTACCAAGTATACTTACCAATATTAGTCATCAGTAGAAAGGAAAATCACTTATCAGAACTTTTCTGGTCTGGTTTTACAGACCACCAAGAGAGAGACAATTCTGGTTAATTCTGTTTCTCTATTACCACGTTTTGCTTTATGTAATCAGACTGAGGTCCAATCTGAATCTATCTCATACATATATAGAAAAGACTATTTTCAAAGCTCTCTAAAGCACTGTCCATAACAGAAAAATTCTTTCTGTACTAGGAATGCCAAAGCTGTTACTTTGGGCTTTCTTCCAATGCATTCTCAATGACTCTCTAAACAGATCAGATCAGATCAGCTCCTAGCAACAGTGTCAAAGTCTGGTGCCTGCAACAGCCCGGTTTTCTTGGAGAAATGCCACTTTTCCAGCCAGTACATTCCCATCCCAAGAGTGGAGTCCTTACCTCTGGCTGATCTGGGGAGTCTGTCCTTAGACCAAAGCAATCACAACTGGGATTTGGTCACTGATAAAGAAAGATTCCTGATTTCCTGGCTCACTTGTCTTGAAGTTAAAGGCATTATTTCAGGGAGAAAGAATTCACAATACCATTTCTGGATACATGGTAGAGGATAGAATAGTCACTTGAAAATGGCCAAGACAGAATTTTGGTAAACGTACTTGTAATAACCATGGATGTGGTTTATTTTGTGCCAGGGATGGAACTCATGACCTTGCACTTATGCTGGGAGCTAAATCCCCAGCCCTTGGATGTGCTTTTTAATGACTTGACTATTTTAAAACTAACTTCAGAATAGAGGGTTATCTGCAACAAAGTAAAATCTACCAAGTACTCAGTAATGATTTTAAGAAATTGTAGTTATAATTTATAACCAAAACCTTCCAAAGTTTAAAGGTGTAATTAACACAGACAAACTTTCCAAATGACTTGAAGAACTCCCAACTTCCTGCATTCCTCTTGCTCCATACAGAGTGGGTTTCAGACAAGCAGAATTTCCCACGGCATCGGCATAATTAGTTTTCTTACCTTCGGGGGTAAAATATCAATTGAAGTTATTTATCACTTTTTTTCCTTCCTGTTTGCCCTTTTTAAAGGTAGGGTCTCACTCTGAAGTGCAGGCTGGCCTCAAACTCAGTGACCCTCCTGCCTCAGCCTCCCAAATGCTGGGATTAGAGTGCACCACCATGCCTGGCTCCCCTGCCTTTTTTTAAACAAAAAAAGCTTAAGGTTGAGGAAATACGTGTAGAATACTAGTCCATTTGCTGATTATGGACTAGTAGCCTCACTGTGCACATACTGTTTCTATTGGCAAAGGAACACACAAAGGCAGAAATGAGAGAAGACTCTAGGTAAAATTCTACTGAAATGATATTTTTCCATTAAAAGTCTGTTGTAAAATACAGTAAAAAGTTCATCCAAGTTGACTTTTATTAAAAAGGAAACACCAAATCCGAATACTCTTGTCTCAGATGGCCCTCAGTCAGCAGAGCCTTCCTGGGGAACCCTGTGACTCTACTGCCAAGTTTCCACTCAGGAACATGAACTACCTGCATGTGAATTATGACTCCGTGAAGTCCATCTAAGACAAAGGTACAGTAAAATGGGTGTGAAGTCATCACTTGTTTAATTTACATGGTACTAAAAATATTTTTAAAAATATACACATGGTAATCCAGAGGAGGAGTTCAGTAAGAAATCAGATGACTGGACTCAAGGTCATGTCCATAATGCTAAAAGCCAATCAGATCACTTGATTTGCTTCATTCACAATGATTACAAGTAAAAAAGAAACCAAGCGAATCATTTTAAACCTAAGTATCTTTCATTCACAGCAAGTTTTGGGAATCACAATTTGGATCAGAGCTCAGAAAAATTTGTTCTTCCTTTCACTGTCTCTTAAAATCAAATTTAAAAAGTTTAACAACTGAAATAGCAGAGGATGTGAAATGCTAATTCATAGATGGAACAACTGGCTATGCACTCAGCCTTTAGACTTTGGAGTTAATCTTTTGAAAGCATTCCTAAGTTACTGCATATCTGTACTATGTGTGGTAAGTAATAAGACCTATGGCCTAGTCTTTAGCTTGGAAAACAAAGTAAAATTATTATGGGAAGAGGACAGTATTTTTTTTCTTCTAGTCCTTTCTTTCTATCCCTCTAGGTAGGATAGCAGGGCCTGTTAACTTAAAGGACAGAAGGATCACATTGCCAGCTGCTCATGTAGATATTTTGCATGCAATATGATATGTCTCAGCCCATTTATTCTACTATAGCCATCTCCGTCACTGACTGTGTCCAGGAGAAAAACTGGCTGTGATATGGTCTACTCATTCTGATGCAGCAGTGGGGTCTTGTGGCTCTGATACTAGGCTCTTGGTCCTAAACTCAGAATGAAGGTTCCCAGCATTTTTGGTCAGAGGTAAACACTGGAGTGTTGCTAAATTTCAGGTCTAGGTTCCCTGAACCACACTGAAGCCCTCCCCACGGAGGAGGTGAGGGTGGGGCTCTCAAGAACGTGTGGTATAGACAGGTTCTTTTCAAAGCTTCTATTAGAATTTAAGGACTGTTTAGTGGCAATCCTCCTGGGCACTTATGTGTTAATAGTCACAGGAGCTGAGACCATGATAAAAAGGCTATAATTTACATTATTATATATGATAACAAAAGATAGTTGTCCACTTCCTTCCTCTCAGCAAAAGATTATGGCAAAATAGAGATGATGTTTTAAAAGTTAATGTAAGACTAAATATAAGCATGACATTTTTGGGTAATTAGTAGAAATTCTTTTTCAGATATATTTAGGAAATTGTATTTTTTTCTTAAGCCCTATCTCCCTTAGTAATAAGTCTTAAAATAACTCACCTGTGTTGCTGTTTTAAATAAGGGCACAAGAAAGGGAGGACTATCAGAAGAGTGGTGTTCTGTGATACCAACATTAAACTTATTAGCAAAGCTCCTCAGCTGCTATGCTAAAAATGCTCACCTAAAACAATTAAAACAGTCTATGTATTGGTAACAAAATTTGTTCAAATAACCTTTGGAAAACAAATGTCAAAGTGAATTTCAAAACAATACAAGTTACATTTTTATGTATTATGTGTTTGGAAATGTGCATAGAAACCATGGAAAGCTTGTGCTAGAAAGTTTCTTTCTGCTTACATCTTATCTTGAGTAGAATGTGAAAATCCTACAAATTACCCAAGGAATATTTTCAAATTGTCTGTTTTAAGAAATAATGACAGGATAAAAGCAAGTCCTCTACATTTAATACATGGGAGACAGTATCACCCAAAATTCTTTAGGGTCAGTTGTATTTTATTTTATCATCCTAAAGAGAAAAATTTCCTCCAAACTTCCCTACATTAATAGTTAGAAGGACAACCCTTTTGACTTGACCGATTCTGTTCTGTTATGTCACATTTGGTTTTACTCTCTTCCAAAAAAGTAATAAGAACTGTGGGAGCAACAAAACCCAAAATGTGTAATTGTCATTGTACAAAAGAGAGGAAAAGAAAGGGCTCTAAACGATATAACTGCATGTATATTTAAGTGTATAAGATAGAGAATGATATTACTGAGTTTTGTTGGATCATTGAACAGAACTGTTTGTAGTCTCACTGTTGGAATGTCCACTTTATAAGCTTTAATTTTGTAACTTGAACAGTTATTTCTAAGATGACAATATGTAATCCGTTAACTAGTGATTTCCTGTTTATTTTTTTCTGTAAATCTGTATAACTTGTACCGTTTCTCTGCTTTTTTTTCTTTTTCTCCTTAAATAAAATTAACAAAAAAAGAAAAAAAAAAAAATAGAAGGACAGCTTTGAGTTTCAGGCCAGCCTGGGCTACAACATGAGTTGAAGGCCAGTCTAAACTACATAGTGAAATCTTATCTCAAAAAGACTTCCCCTACAAAAAAACCAACCAAACAAACAAAAAAACTAAGAAAAACAAAAACCAAAAAAAAGTGAAAATCTACTACTACTATTAATAAAAATAGTAATTGTAGTGTTTTATTAAGAAATATTAATTTTGGCAAACTAAAATTTCATGGGTGTTTTGTCAAACGTTGGATTAGTATGTGGCACAGTAAATCTCTTCTATCTTAACCCAATTTCCTTCTTTAACTGGTCATCTGATCCTAAAAAGACTAAAGGAGTGAAAGGCAGATATGGGTATCAGTTACAATTGCTGGATATGGCCCATTAATATACTTGCCCTACGAAGATGGACTTTTGTATCTCTATCACTGAAAATGAAATTGCCAATTCAGATCAAAGATAAAATGAGGTTCTGATTCTTTAAAAGCTAACCATCCAACCATGAAGTAAATGCTTCAGAAAAAAAATATATTCACTAATAATTCCCCAACTGCCTGTCCCAAATCTTGTAATACATTTTCAATAGAAATTATAAAGACATATGAAAAACACAAAATTAGTCACTTTTAGGGGAACTTATATTTAATGCCCAACAGGGCATTATTTTGAAGAAATCTCATATCAAATACAGTGCCACCCTGCTGTATTTCAAAATTGGGTAGTTCCACTAAAAGCCATACTGCAAAGCTTATTTAAAGGACAATCTACACAAAGAAACAACCACAACAAACAAAACACACAGACGCACATCAAAATCAAACATGTGCTTACTTCCTTCTATTAGGGGAAGAAGTGTAAGAAAATCTACATCTAGAAATGTATGAAACCAGGCCTTGAAAATCAGCTATATCAAACACTTTCATAGAGAAGATAAAACAAAAACAAAAAGCATTTGTTTTCCTGATTTTTCTTTAATACAGTGGCCATTTTCCATCATATACTATTAGGAACCTTCTTAATGGCATCTAATCTATCCTCCTGCTGTTTCACTTGGTAACCCCTCAAACCTAGTTCTAGACTGGGTGATCATTAATGGGTAGTGGCATTAACTTTCTAAAAATGGATTAACGCACACATCCAAACCACTTAAACTTTCAACTGAGAGTTCATAGAAAGTCTATTTCCTTCCTGTGGTAGCTATCATTCCACATTGTGATTTTGACTCCAAGAAGTGGGAAGAACGTCTTTTTTGTTATTGATACTTCTTTCTCCTTTCTTCTACCATCCTTTTTCCCTCCCCCCTTCGTTTTCTTTCTTCCATTCATTTCCTTCTTTTTCACTTTGTCATTCTTTTTAATAAGAGGTTAAAAGAAATAGGTTATTAAAGAAATCAAAGTCTAGTAAACATCAAAAAACAGAAAGCTCACAAACTCTTCTTTATAATGATGTTAAATTACTGACAAACAGAAAGATCTTCAACAGACACAAGCCAGTGGTGCTGTTTTATTTAAGCAACTGGCGTTCCTCGATGCTTTTGAGGCGCTTCTTCCGGGGCTGTACAAAGTCATCATCTGAGTCATCACTACATTTATTATCTTCTGATTCATTCCTGAATTCTACTTTAGGAAACCTTTTTTCTGGATAAAGGTTCTTTAGAAGTTCTTCAAAATAGCTTTCAAGTTTTATACCAGCATTGGCTACTTCAGAATCAGGCTGTTAGGTAAAAAGAAAAATAAAGACCACATTTTAGACAGTCATCAGAAATAATCTTTCAAACTTCTGTTTGCTTTTGAGTCTTGACATTATAAACATCAGTGGGTTGTTGTGGAAAATGCATAGTCATTAACACAAAAATAGCAACATAAAACAAACCATTAGCCAAAGGGTGTGTTGTGGTTAAATGATTGAGAGATGAGAAAATTTAGGAGGAGGATTTTTTTTGATTTATCCTTAATATGTCAAGATAAACAACAAAAAGATAATTTTGGAAGTCCATATTTCAAGAAATAAAGGTAGGACAGGGATGCAGCTCAGCGGCACATCTGTGAGTTCAGTCTCTAGTACCAAAAAAAAAAAAAATAAGAATGACAAAAAATACTTCTAGACCAGAAAAATCTTTTCTAAATTACTGTTACCGATTTTATTTCTACTCCCCATATAATGAAACTTCTAATATAAACATGGCCACAGTCCTCCTCAGTCCCTCTCTCCTACCCTGGTGGACCTGAAACACGGACACGGATCCCTCATAGACATCTCGGTCTACTCATTTGCTGACAGTATGGGTTGGTGTAAGATGAGGTTCACATTGTGGCTGCCCTCCCGCCTCACCTCATTGAATTCGGCACAGTTCTGAAAGATCAATCTGAAATCAGCTACAAAATCTTCAGGCTTTGTATATAAGGAAGAGTCTTCTTGCAGTCTTTTCTTGATGGTTGACAAGTCCATTGGATTTTTAATTATTTTGTAATAATCAGGCACCTTTTAAAATAATTGAGATGTTTTAACAACTAAGTCCTACCTAGTCCTAAATGCCTTTTGTAAGAAGTGATAGGAAAGTTCGGATTGTTCTTACAGCTTTTCTGTATTTTATCACTGGTAAAAAAACCTGTTCAGTAAGGGTGTAGATACATGCCTATAATCCTAGCATTTGGGAGGCTGAGGCAGGAGGACTGCTGTGAGTTTGAGGCCAGCCTGAGCTACATAGTAAATTCAAGGCCAACTTGTAATACACAGTGAGATCTTGTTTCAAAAAACAAAATAAAAAATGATGTAATCATATATTCTCTCCTAACTTTCTTGATTCTCCATCTTGTTATTAAATAAAAATTACTAGAAAAAAAGTATTTTCTAGTAGTATCTGACATTTTTCTTGTATGAATTATAGCAAGTGATAAAAAAGGCTTGTTCACAGGCCTCACAGGCCACAACAACATCTTAGGTAAGTTATAACTTTACTGAGAGTTTCCTCATATTTCAAATGGCAGTGATCCTGGCAACTGTGTACAATTTACATACATATATAGCAGATATGACATATATCAAGAAAATGAAGAGTGTTTTTTTTTTTTTTGGCTACAGTTATTAATACAAATGTAGCTGTAAGCCAAGACCATGAAAACACCTAGTTTATTTTTAAGTGTATACTTGCATTACCTGCTTCTTTTATTGGATTCTTATGCTTCTAGCTCTGACAGAGGAAATGGCATGTGTTTGGCTCTAATGTGTGTCTGTGTGTTTAGAGCATTTTAAATTCTTTTTGGTTTGTTTTTTGAGACAAGGTCTTGCTATGTGTATTCCACCGTGTCCTTGAACTCGTGGCGATTCTCCTGCCTCAGTCTCCTCAGTGCTGGGACGTGTGTGCCACTGCACCAGGCCTATTTGACTTCTTTACTCTGCCTCTTTTGGGTATAAACATTCCCTAGTCTGGAATTATTCATTTCTTACTCTTTTTTTCTACTTGCTCTAAAGCAAGAAGCTGACTGGTATCAGCTGAATGCACATATTTACCAAGTTAGTTTTCTTTTAATCTAGCATTAGTTTTTCAATTTAGTAAGACAAATTCATTGAATTGTTAAAGCAGTTTCAGACATCATAGAATAGAAAGAGAATATATTTTGGGTAGTGAATGCTTTACACAAATATAAGATGACAGTGCATCAAACTCTTATTACAAACTTTTTGGAAGATAATGTTTAACACACATACATCTCCCTTCCTCAGCTTCCTTTCTATGGTAAAGTCCATTTATTAAAGTCTAGACCTGTCTATTAAAATAAATTTAGAAAGTATGGCAAAGTTTTGAAGTTTCCTCCAGAAGCTTAAGAGAGTATGTCTAAACCTTCTGAGTTAAAAACACAGAACTCCTCTGCAAACAGAAGGCAAATTAGATGAGGTTAAACAAATACCTGAGAAATGAACAGAAGTTTGTAGGCAATTCATTAATGTCAAAACATAACTATTTGGGATCCGTGTACTCCATATCAATTAATAAACTTTAAGATCTGGAGTGGTTATTAGGAAGTATTGAAAATGGTCTAGAAACTAGACTCATAAAAATAATTTCCAAAAAACAAACATCCCATGTCCCTCTATGTCAATATGTACAAGAGGACATTAATACTTACAGTTAGAGGGACAGGGTCTTGAAAAGCCAGGCTCATCTCATGGCAGTAAAGAAATAAAAGTAGGCGTTCACACTTCTAAAGGAAAAAAACACAACAGAAGCCGTGGTTTAAGTAAAAATTCCACAGGTCTCAAAGTATAAGAATTAAAACTATATGAATACAAGAAAAATGCTGAATCTTGGGAGTATTTTTGCTTTTCTTCCCACTCATTAACTACGTGCTAGACAATTTAGGATGGATGTGGTATTTGAGAAAGTGCTTATAGCTAATACTATCAGTAGAATACTATCAGTAAAAACTCATCTTAAGCTCTTGACAATCCCTCTCCACTGAGTCTGGATGCTGTAGGAGCAGCCAAGACAGAAAGCCACATGTAGCTCAAAGACCTAGGATAGGGACCGTCCTCAGTGCCCGCTGTGTTACTTTTCTCAGATGGGTTTATCCTGGTAGGCACTGTGTGTAAACCTGCCCTATTTGTGGCTTTGCGGCCTGACATTTTCACACACTTTTCTACTTAATTTAACAGAGGAGGTCCTTTAGCAGTAAACTGCCAACCATGCATCTTTAAATGATAGTGAGATATAAATAAGCCTAGTACCCCTTTGTGAAAAGATGGAATTATTTCCAGAAGAGTAGAAAGAGCATCCTAGACCATTGTGCCACTTCTAAATGAATAATGGAACAAAACTTATCTGTGATAGAAATGAAACAAAATTAAGAGTTTACTAAGGGAGATTAAATTTAAAAGCCCAGGTTTCATCCTGTGCAGGTAACTTAAGCATCTATAAACACACGCAGGCACACCCTTTCCTGTTTCTAAATTTAAAAACATTGTAACTTGTTGTTAAAGTTTCCAATTGCTTTGTTTAAAAAAAAACTCCTAAAAAAACCCAACATAAAATTTAATGCATCTAAATCAAAAATTTTTTTCTAATACTCTAAGATAGAAATGTCAAAAGACTCACCCTTTTATCTATCGGTGCTAACTTAACAAGAGCTTCAGTTTTCTTTTTATCCAAATTGTGACTGGGCGCATCACAATCATACTCAACTTCCGGTTTAGATAAATCTCGGCAGAAAGTACAAATCCACTCTCCACTGTGGAGACAATGTATTTTTGAGTTTGTAATGCTGCCTCCCTCTTCACTGCTTTCCCTTGTTACATCCTCCATGCCATCTAGTACACGGATTTACCTGGCATGAATTTTAATCACTGAATATTTGCCACATACCTACCCTACCAGTATAGTGGTGGGAAATGAAACACAGAAATTAACGGACTGATTGATTACACTGGGGATTGAATTCAGGGCCCTTGCAAGAAGCCACATCTCCATTCTTCCTTTTTTTCTGGGGTAGGGTCTTGCTAAGTTGCTCAGCTTGGTTAGGCTCAAACTTGCAACCTTCTTTTCCTGCCTCAGCTTCCCAAGGTGCTGGTATTACAGGTGTGAGCCACACCCAATGGGGCTTGACAGAAATCTAATGCAAAGGCCTAAGTGCTTACAATCAAAATCTACTCAAGGAGGTGTGGGAAGCTCTGTAATTAGCTGCTACCTTATATCTGCAGGCTGCACCACCTTAACTCCCTCCAGGAGTTAAGTTTGGTAGTTAAGCAGCACCCTGCCTACCTACCTAGTTTGGCCTATTCAGGAATTATGTTAATCAGCCCGCTTTATGAGCCCGCGCCCGGGAAATTTGAATTGACCTATAACCCTTGGTCTTACCACTGTTGCTGAGTTACCTGCTGACATCTCAGAACCCAAATCCCTCCTCCCCAATACCCTATATATTTGATTCTCCTTCCTTGAATAAACGAGACTTGATTGGACTTCATCTTGTCTCCGCTCTTTGTGTCTCTTGTCCCCTCTTCATCCCCACTCCCCCTCTAGGGTCTCTGTGGACTTAGCTACAGGCCGGGTCAAGGAGGTATAAAATATTCTTCATGTATTAATAAACTGTTAATTTTATATACTTATATGTCATATATATATTAAATTTTAAACATCCACATTAATTTAGGGCTGTCATAATATAACTGAATTTCTTCCTCAAAGAATTCAGGAAAAAGAAATGTTTATTAAAAAAAAGTATAGCATTTAAAGAACTAAGATCAGCATGAACGGTCTTAGCAATCATCATCTCAGGGAAATCATTTGCAATACTGAAAATGACAAAGTTCAAGGTCTGACAAGAAAGACACATCACACTGTGGCAGATGACACACTGCACATATGAGGGTCACTGTGCTTTATGATGATTTGTGTTGGTGTTCTCCTAACAGACTAGGTTCCCTCATTCGCAGGCTGGGAGTGAAGACAGGACCTTGCAGAGGCTTAGCCAAGTGTTCTACCCCTGGGCCACATCCTCAGACCAGCCAACTAGTGTTTTTGAAAGAAGCACAGGAACAGGAAACTAGATTATCATTAGAGATTTTACAGTACTGTATGCATATGTGCCAAGAGGAATTTTATTTACATCTTTTACAAAGATTTGAGAACACAATGAACATCGAAGTTGACCACGGCCAGGTGTGGTGGTAAATGCCTGTAATCCAGCGCTGAGGAAGCTGTGGCAGGAGGATCACCATGGTTTTGAGGATAGCTGGCACTACACTGGAATTCAAGGCAACCTGAACTATGTAGTGAGACCTTATTTCAAAAAATAGAGAAAGTTCACTGCTACTCTTTTTATTTTTGCATGGTTTGCATGTACTTACTAAATCCACTTTTACTCACCTGCCCACTTAAACCCTGCTTCTTCTACTCACAGCAAAGGATACGGCAAGGCAAGTACTAACTTACCTTGGAAAATTTGTCAATGTGGGCACATGACAAGAGAGATGAAAAACTTTCGGACACTTCTCACAGCACAGCAGTTCCCCTCCGTTTTGACAAACTGCACACCAGTCCTCATTGGGGTCATCTTCCTTTCTTGTGTCCCCAACATGAAGGGGAGACTTCTGGGAAGTGTCCAGCCACTCGGACTTCCCACTGGAGGAGTTCTCTTGGTGTAGTCCAGGCTGATCCCCTGTGCTATCCGGAGCATCAGATCTTACGACAGGCTCCTCAGAGGCAGACCTCTGACTGCTATTTAGGAGCAGGGAAGTGAGTATGCTTCTTGAGTAGTTGGTCTGCAATAAAAGAGAAAACTGCATGTGTGCATATGCGGGCATGTGTGTTTCGGAACTGGGTTTGCTGAGTACCATGGCAACAATAGCCTGCAGATGGCCCTCTCATGGCCCCTACTATTCTGGAGGAGTTAGAACTACTCTGGACTCTCTAATGGCACAGGAGACTGAACTTCTACTCGGACTGTCAACATAGGCGATGGGTGCAAGGGTATGGGTGATACCTTGGTGGCTGCTCATGTCTACACAAATTAGAGAACAGGTAGGCAGCATGGAAGTCAGCCACATGAAGAATAAGTATGTTTTGCAGTTATAATAAATGTACGATGCAGACATACTTCTAAGATAAATCTAAATTCTGCTGGATACTACAGTAATGAAAATTTCCTATCAATAATAAAAACTATCTTGTTTGAACATTTAAAAAAATTTCAAAGTAATAAAGGTAGACATATTGAGAGCACTCATTTGCTAGAGGCAACTATTTTCAAACTTGGCTTTCTTTCTGCTACCTACCTTCACATTTCCTTTTTGTCTGTTGTTTTTGTTGAGATGAGGGCTTATTATGTTGCTCAAGCTAGCCCTGATCTTGAGGTCCTAAAATACTGGGATTACAGGCAATACAACTGTCCTCAGTTTACTTCCATGTTTATAAAGCAAATGCCTATAATGCAATTTCTTGGGTTTTTAATTTTAAATTCCATATGTATAAAATTTTCCTGATATGAAAGATCCAGAGATTAGGCTTTTGTATTAATCTCTAACCCATTCTCATTCTCACACACACATTGCTAGGACCCATTCATTCTCTAAACACAGTTTTTACTAAGCACTACCGTTTTAGTCAGTAGGACCAATGTAATTGTTTCCGGTTCACTAGCATCTACTGCAACTGATCTGTATCTGTACTAGTTATAGATACTCTAAAAAATCGTAATTTTTTAGTTAAATGTTTAAGATTATATCCTAATGTGTAATTTTTAGTTATATGTATATTTGAGTTTATCATTCCACTATGTAAATGTACAATGCAGAACCACAAAATATACTAAAACTGCATTTCCTTTTTGGACCATTTTACGAGGAACTGATTATAACTTTTTCATTCATTTGCTTATTTTTCTAGATTCTCATCTCTATGCCAGTCACCACCAGGTTATAAAATTATTTTTAACACCACTTCCCCACTCAGTTGTATCCCCAAGGAGTCTGTTCTACTGTAGATTGTTCTGTAAAAGCTACTCTACTGGGAACTACCTTCTTCTTACCCACTAATCAGAAATGGTATTGCAAGCACCGATATAATTACATTTTGAGGCCTAGATTCTTCATCTGATTCTTGTTTCACTATAACAACAGGAAAATCATAATTTTCAGGCGGTCCACTGTTTTCTTGTTTTATTCGGATTGGCTCCAACATGACTACTGGGACTTTGTGTGTAGAGTCAGCTCCCGTTGGTTTGCTAGAAGAACCAGAGCTGTAAGAGAGGGGAAAAAAAAAATAAAAAATCTAAAAACACTACACCAAAACCTCATAACAAAGTATAGTATTAATACCCTAAAGTAATGCTGTTATCTTCACAAAATAGCTACATGACCTCATCAGTAAGTGATGCATAAGAAAATGTCTGTTACAAGTTTCATTTATGATAAAAAGACTTCACGGTGTAATCTACACAAACAGTTACACTATACATTTGGAAAGGTAAATAAATCTGACTTAAAATAAAACTGACTTCAAAATTCTGAGAGTCCACAAGTAGGCAATTAAGAGTTGCTATTTTAGAACTAGCATATTCTAGGCTTTAATATTCCCTTCTCTGGTCATGACAAAGTTTGAAGCTCACACCAAACTTTGTTGCCAAAGTAATGACAGCTAGGATATCATTCGCTGGACTTCTGCTACTTACACAAGGAAGTGAGACAAAAACATGTGCAGAGCCATTAGGTTCTCGTGGGATTACTGACCAACTTGAGCCTCGGAGGAGGCTTCCTTCATTTAATGAAGGAAGAACTCAGTGCACTATTTAGGAGCAACTTTCAACTACAGTAAGAGCAGAGCAGCATCTAAGAATCTCAGCAACTGTAAATTTTTTTCAAGTAGAAGTAATGTCTAACCATTAGTAGTATAACCAGAAATCACTGCAATAGTTAAAAAGTATTTCTCTTCCCTCAATTGGTATTTCTATATAGTGCTGTGTTATACCTACCGTCTTTTCCCTTGCTATTATGCTAATGTCAAACATCGTATTTGCTACATAAAGGTTTTTTAAGCTGGGCATGGGCCTGTAATTCCAGCACTCAGGAGGGTGAAGCAGGAGGATCACTGCAAGTTCAAGACCAGCCTGGGCTACAAAGTGAGCTTAAGGCCAGCCTGAACTGCCTAGTGAGACCGTGTCTCAAAGACACACACACACAATTTTCTCTTAATGATAAATTTGTACTTTAACCCTTTCACTAGCTTATTAAATTAAAACATAATTATGATTAAAATTCCAACTAAAAATAATGGAAGTTGTTCAAAATGCACTAACTATAAATATAATGAGCCCCAGCAAAATACATCTACACAGTTTATGTATAGTTGGCCCATCATATCTGTGGATTCCATCAACTGTGAATGGAAAATAAAAATACTTAGGGCAAAAATTGTGCCTGAACTAACACACAGAGACTTTTTTGGGGGGGAGAGGGCAATTATTCCCTAAATAATACAATGTAATAATTGACACAACATTTATATTGTGTCAGGTATTACAAGTAATCTAAAGCTGATTTGGTCTTATGGGGAGACACACACAGGTCATATACAAATACTACATCATTTCCTAGGAGGGATTTGAGCACCTAGAGGTTATTTAACCTCAGGAGGGTCCTAAAACCAATTCCCCATAGATACTGAGGGGCGACTGTGCTAGAGAACACGGTTAATGCTGTTTACCTTCCTCGGCTCCCAACGCTGGAGGCACTAGGTGAACGTATTGGAGGGTGGACGCTAGTCATAGTAACAGGTCCTGAGAAGGGGGAAATCACACATATTCATAAGTGAATTAATAATTATGTGTAAGTCCTACTGAATATGCTCACTTAGTATTACACTGAAACTGGGAACACACAATACAATTCTATGGAACAGTAAGTAGTTGCTAACACGCAAGTATGATACATATGCCCTGTTAGAGCAGTAGCGCTTTCATCCTTCAGGCAAGGTTCTTTGCTCTGGGGGAACATCTGTGGGGAACACTCCTGGCTTAACAAACTGCCAGCAAGATCTGCCACAATTTCTAACTTGGAGTGTGATAATCACAATGTTATACCTGGGGCAGTGTCTCAGTGAGGAACCTAATGTTAGTACAAGCTACACAAGACAATGAGTGGTAGAGCTACCACAGAGTTCAGAAAGAGAAAAGAACTATCAAGAGAAACAAGATGGATCAATTAACAGAAGACAGAGAATATCACACTGAGAAGGTTACACTAGAGTCAATGAACAAGAGTGGTTGTGAACTGCTACCACAGAAGTGAAGAAGCCACACGCTGGTGGTGGGTTATGAGCCACTCTGTCTGGTGTCTGGCCCACGTTATGGTGGACCAATATCAACTTTAGGAATATTGCTACAGTGGCTTCCAGAAATGCTCTGGCCATATTACACCTTAGCAGCCATGTGTGAAGGGACCTCTCTCATCACATTTTCATCAGTGAGTATTGTCATGAAACCCATAGGTAGTTCAATGGCTAGAACTTGTATCTGCCTTTGATTTTTTCCTGCAACAGCGGGAATAAATATTTTTTGGCATAATTTGTTTTACTCGCTGTAGTGGTTGATCGATTGTGTCAACTTGAGACATTTAAAAGCTTACCTAAATGGGTTTAGCAAGTCTACACCCAAGGATGTAGACCCACCCCTAGGGTGGGGCATCACCTGAAGGTATAGGAGAAAGGACGAATGCATTCCTTTCTTGGGAGAAGCTTCAGTCTTCATCTTTGGTTTGGATATCATCTCCTGGCTTTTAGCATAGACTCTTCATCACAGAGCCTTTGGCCTTCTGTTACAGACCCATCAGCCCACTGCTGTGAACTTGTACAAGACACTAGGGTGAACTCCAGACCTTGGATTGAATCCTTTGGCCTCCAGTGTGTAGAAACCCTCTGCACGCTTCCTCATCAGACTCTGTGGCTGGCCGTCAAAGGCCAATTTTGTTGTTTCTGCACATCTTGTGTTATATCTGTTTTTTCTAGTAAAACCCTGACTAATACAGATTTTGGTACCAAGGAATGGGATCATTGCTGTGACTATAACTGACTATGTTTTATGAGAGGCTTTGGAAATGGCTTGTGGATAGAGTTTGGAAAGGTTCAGAATTGTCGTCTGGATGCATAGAGCTGGAGCAGCATAGGCTGTTCTGTAGAGGATATTCTGGTCAGAGCTCAGGAGACCAGAAGGCTGATAGAAAGCCTCAGGGTAAAGACCACGCTTGGGAGGTTTCTGCTGGGAAGAAGGACTACCTTAGTTGTTGGACTCCCCATGATGTGTTATGGCTTGGCAGAAAGTTTGTCTGCATTTTGCTCATGTCCAGAGACTTTGCCCGAGACTGAGACAAAGGGCAATGGACTGATTAATCTGGAAAAGGAAATTACAAACCAGTAGATTGCTGAGGCTTGTGGCATAGCTATTGGTGGGAGCTTTTAGTCAGTTCTATGTTGCAAATCACGAGCAAAGAGCCTAGCAGGATAATTTACAACTCTGTGAATTTGGCCAGATGGAGAATTCCAGGAAGGTTGTGGACTGTAAAGACAGGGTTGAGACTTTGATTGCTGAGGAGAAACAGAGATAAGAAAGATGGCTGCAGGACATTCCAAGAAGCAGCGGGTCTCAACCTTTTGCAGCCTCAAAACTGCAAAAGTGAAAAAATTTGCTCAGAGGAAAAAGCTGCTTCAGAATGGGGACAGAGGCCACATGAGGTTTCAAAATGGTGCCAACATACATAAGCTTTTCTTTGCAATCAGGTTCACAGAGCCAACGATCCAGGCAATTGATCCCTACAGCCAAGAGAAAAAAAGCTTGGCTGCTGCTCCAGCTGGCAGCAGATCTTGGTGGCATTTTAGGTGCAAGGAAAATGCACAAATTCTGAGGGTAAGACAGCTTCCACCTTGATTGCAAAGGGTCTGGGAGGCCAAACAGTGTGCCCGAGAGGGCAGTTTGTAAAGATGTAAGGATAAAGCCAAAGGTGCAATGGAGACCCCAAAAGTTTGAAAAAGCCAAAAATGTGGATCATCCAAGAAAACCTGTAAGAAGTGATCAGAGAGGGTTTAAAAGAGAAGCTGTGGGAGCTGATATCCCTAAAAGTGCTGTGGAGGTGAAATCATCCAAGCCTTTTGGAGCTTGCAACCAGATTGCTTCAGATGCTGAGCATGGAACTCTAGGACTTAATGTTTGTCCTGCTGGATGTTGGACTTGCTTTGTTTCCAATGCTTTATATTTCCCTGTTTGTAACTTTTGGAATGGTGATGTTTATCTTGTGCTTTTGCATTTCAGACATGTTTAACCTTGTTCCATTTGTACAGGGGGTTATAGTTAAGTTTACCATAGATCTTGGAAGAGACTTGAGACTTGAACTTTCAGCAGGACTTTGGCAACTCTTGAAGATGGACTAAATGTCTTTTGTATAAAGGATGTGCATGAGTCCTGGGGCCAGGGGTGGAATGTCATGGTTTATGTCGGTGACCCCCAGGCCTCAATTGTGCATTTGAGAATGATTCATTGTCTAGTGCTTGGATTGGGGGTGTGAGAGCCACACTGGCCTAGGGGTGGAGCCAGGATGCAATGTAATGGCAAGAAGAAGGTGTGTCTTGCTCTCTTGCCAGTTTCTGCCTTGCTGTTTGCAGTCACGATGGACTGCCTCCCACCATGCCACCCTGCCTTGGAGCCAACTGAGTAGGGACTGAAACCTCCAAAAAGAAATAAACCTTTCCTTTCCCAACTTTGGCTTCAGGTATTTTGTCTCAGCAACGAGTAAAAAGTAACTAAGACACTGGCTGTATGTATTTCTCCTCTAGGGCATTACCCATTCATCTTGTGCTCTGGCAATAGAGTACATTACTTAATTATACAGACGTGTCAGGTGATAATTTCTCTGCTATATTTTGTCCAAACTTTGTGTAAAATAGCTAAGTAAAATAAATCACATGGAATATCACGTGGCTTTTCTTATATGAGAAACCTAAAGTATAAATAACTCAAAGAGCAAAATAAAAGGCAACAAGAAACATGGAGACTTTGGCAGATGAGAAGGGGATTCAGGGAAAGGGGAAAGGAAGTAATGAAGGAAATGGAAATAAAAAGCACTAAGATTCAATATGTATATGTACTAACTCCCCATGATGAAGGTATTATGCATTGTAACATGTACTAATGAAAAATAAAAATAAAAGAAAGCTAAAAAACCTGGGGTGGGGGAGGAAGAAATCGGTGTTGCCACTTAAATTCTCTAACTGTCTTACATTATGCTCATATCATTGGGTAAAAGACTTGAAAATCCTCTTATTTTCATCCCAAACACCTATTACTGCATGTCATTGTCTCGAGTAGTGGTATTAGAGTGTATTTCAGAGAAAATGAATCAGAACAGTAATCATTCTTAAACATAAACACCAAATAAACCACCAAAAGACTGATCTATGTATGGTCACTCATAAATTTTAACTCTAGGCAAATGAAACCCAAAAGGAACACCATAGGCAACTTTTTAATATGACTATAACACTAATTTTCTCCTAGGAATGCTTTAATCTCTGCAAAGTCTGTTGAAGGTAATTTAAGAGTTTATTTCATTCTTTGGAAGCACTGCATACTAATTTTAAGTAGTACTAAAAACTCAGATGTTATCTGAAACATGCAACATAGAAGGTGAAGGAGAGGGACTTCAGTCGTTTCTCAAGTGAAAACTAGATGGTTTAGGCCACTTACCTGCAAGCCCTGGAGAGGGCACTGAGGAGTTTGGTGACTGCACTGTTCTGTTGGAGGGCGGTCTGGGCTGGCTGTGATCGGTGCTGGGCTCTTTCTTCCCAATATTGTCCAGCATAATAGTACTTGAACAATCAATCTTATAAGAAAACAAATTATTTCAAGGCAAACTGGTTTTGCAAGGTAAAGGCCACCTTAAAAGTATATAAGAAGAATCTCAAAAAGAATTACTGACAAATCCTAAGACACATAAGTATCACATGAGAAGTTCTAATAAACACTTCTCTTGCAATCTTGAACAAAATTTTCCCTTTTTAACATTACAGCTTAGTAATCATACTGAGAAGATACTATTCTAGAAATCAATAGTTGGAATAAGGGAGTACTGTGTGTCATTCACAAAATTAAAGTTTCTTAATTCATATAACGCTAATATTAGGTACTTGCATTTAAAAAAAGCAAACTTGAAAAGTTGCTGCAAAATCTCTTTTCATTTTCTTAAGAGCAATCAATTGGCTTTTATGTGCCTCTGCACTGAATCTGTTGTGATTTGTGACTTCCGGTGAAGCGTATAAAGAAAACTTGGCTTCACAGACAGAACCTGAAGGGCTGCTATAGTCCTTGGCCTGTCTCTAGTCCTTGGCCTTAGGATATGCATTAGATAGAGGAACAGAGTCATATATCACACATCTCTAGAGCACAAACTTCACTACATCACTGTTCAGTAAAGGTTAGACCCTTTAATGCAACAGATATACAGATAACACTGATTCCTAAAGCACTGCAAGGCTAAGTACTGATAGACTTCCAATTAAGACCTTAATGCTATACATGCAACTATTCTTCATACCTAAATCCATCAAATTTATAAGTATGGCTTTGTGATTGAAATCCAGTTTAATTCTATCTCAACCAGGATCCTACAAGAGAACTGTGTCCTATAGTCCAACAGCATAGATTTTACACAATTATTTTCTTGTCAGTGCATCGAGAGTAGTGGTCCTGGTAGGTATGAAGCATCCCTAGGCAGACACAAAATAATCTGTGCCTTAAATGAGGAACAGCAACCGAGACAGGCTAATAAACAAAGGATCACTTGCATGCATAGGACAAGGCAGGAGAATTTTCTTTTTCTTTTTTTTGTTTTTCACCTGTACGGGGGATCTAACTCATTACCTCATGCTTGCCAGGCAGGTGCTTAGCCCCGAGCTAAATCCCCAGCCCAAGAGAATTTGATTTTCTTGTGGACCTTTTTTCATTTGGGGAAAATCGGAGGAGTATGAAAGATCATTTACATTTTAATATTCTTTAATAGTTACCTTGGCCAACACTTTCAGATAAGTGCAAAGACTGGAAAGACAGTACACAAAACTGGATGTGAGATCTTAACCTAAGAAAAGTTTACACCTGGTTTCTATGTAGCATCTACACATAAAAAAATACATGTGCTCTACTCAATCAGAGGACACAAAATAGTAAAAATCTAAAAGGACTATAACAAGGTTAGCAACTATCAGGAAATCACAGTTGATTTCAACTTAAAAAACAAACTAAATAATGAAGATTAAAACAGTTCTTTCATAATGACAGGTGATTCCTTCCAAGTACAGAGGTACAAAATATTTCAGACAAGACATTTTCATGTTGTCTTAAGCATAATAGATTAGAATAAGAAAAGGAAAAATAAAGATTCAACTTATATTTTGAGTATCTGTCTACATGATTTCTGCCTCTGGAAAGATGTTTAAAAAGCCATGTGGACAAAGTTAAGTGCTTGGAGAATGGATACATTACTTAATTTAAAGAAATTAGAAGTAGTGTGCACTGATCAGGACAATCCAGGGGAAAATGATTAGGTTTCTACACTTGTAAGCATCTTCATCTTTCCTGATGGCTCAGCATCCAACTCTAACTCTAATCTATTACATTCCAGCCATTTGACCACTAGCAATTTTATTCTTACTGCCCTCTATCCCAGCTTTGATTCCATGACCCGTCATCTTAATCATTTAGCAATTCCTCTAACTCCAAAGCCCTGAAAGACATTCTGTTGTATGTCCAAGTGGTCATAATTTTAACTGGTTTTTATAATATTTCTTAAAACTTTGTAACTGAACAAACCTAGCCCTTTTAAGAGATCCAAATTAATTGATAATTTCCAAAAGAAGTTGGAAGAATAAATTTTGTTTATACTTACATCAGGAAGAGAAGGAAGATTATAAGAACCTCCCACTGGTGCACTCAGATCAATCATAGGTGAGCCAAAACCCTTCCCGTCGTACCCTGCCGCACTTGTGATGGTGGGACTGGAAGGGGTAGAGGATGAGCTGCTGGTGGTTGAGGCGGCAGCTTGTCCACTGCTGATCTGCCACTGTAGGAGCAAGAAGAAAGCAGGCTGCCAGTCAACTCCTTTTTAGATATCAAATGAAATAAAAGGCTTCATTCTGATGTCTGAATTCAATTTTATTTTTAGTGAAAATAGCGAGGCGAGAATACATAGGTATTAAGCAAATAAACAAAAGCACACACTTTTACTGGAAGATAAATGTTAGTACACTATAAAAAAACTGTAGTGTCCCGTCTTGGAAAGGGTATACACACTGGAAAAGGAGTAGAAGCATAAACAAAGCAGCATAATTATCAGAGGTTTGATAACAAATGTTTTCTTTTACTCCTCCTGAAATACCTGGAAATAAGGAACTCATAGGCCAGGTCTTACAGGTTTTTATATTTTTTTCATTTTGAGAAAAGTTTTTTTCATTTGTATTAGCAACTGAGACAAACATATAAACTAAGACTATGTGGCATGCTAAAATATACGTAAGTCAAGCATGCTACTGCCTGCAATTTACTTTAAAACCTATCAGCCAGGCGAGGTGGCATGAACCTATAATCCCTGCAGCACTCCAAAGACTAAAGCAGGAGGATCACTGCAAGTTCAGGGTCATCCTGGGTTACATAGTGAGACATTCTCTCAAAGAACAACAACAACAAAAAGACCCCACTAAAATACAATAAATGTGGGAGGTCAATAGTTAAGTACCCAAATTGTCAGGTAGGGTTATAGTTACATACTTAGCAGAACTCTACAAGGCACTCAATCATTTTATAGTTGGGGCAAGTGAGATTTAAAAAGAATAAACTTGCCCAATACCACAAAATTATTAGGAATATAAAGTCAAGCCCCAACTACAGTTCATGCTCTATCTTATCCTAATTATGAAATAGAAATGAATGTAATACACTGCAGGACATGTGGTAATTATAGCAAAGCATAAACACACAGAGGCTATTTTTTGAATAAAGTTTCCTAATGATCTGATTAAAATGACTGTTACAAGATTATGAGATTAGCATCATCATCTTTGGGTGTGTGTGTGGGGGGAGGCATGTCCTTGGCAAAAAAAAAAATTAAACCAAAATTAGCCCAAAAGTCTTTTGCTGGAAAATCTGGTCACAGAGGTACATGAAAGTAAAGCACTGAGATAGTTTTTGTTGTAAGATAAAGCAATTCTAAAAACATTTTTACCTGAAGACGTCAAAATCATAATTGTCAGATTTAATACACAGCCTTTAATACTGAGCTTCATTGGATATACATATATACAAACCTCATACTGAAACTGTGCCACAATTAAGTTCATTTCCAAATAGTCTCAAAGCACACAGAGACTCAGCTTTGGTTTCACAGATCTGCCTGAAATAAACTTTGAAATCCAGTCATTTAAAAAAAAAAAGTAAAGCACACTTGTTATTGTTCTTCACAGCCTGCTGCTTAATCTATAAAGCAAAAGACAAGCAAAGCAGATAAGCAGCTGAAGAAAGTAGAAATGTACCTGTTTTATGGCTTGTTGGGCCAAGAAAGCCATCTGTAGGGGATTGGGCTTTATTGCTTGCCGCGGTACGTTCTGGTTGGGTGGGTATCTCAGCTGCTGAGGATGAGGAGGAAGCACTGGTCCATTGGGTTTAGGGCTGTGATTTTGAAAGTTTATCAAACGAGGAGGGGGTTGCTAGAACAATGAAATTAAACTATTTCAGTAACAATTATCTTCATAAAGACAAGATAGAAGGATCTAATAAAAGGGAATGAGGGGGTGGGGAAGGGTAGATATCTACAATTTGTGATTTTCTTTTTTTGGTACCAGGGGTTAAAATCCAGGGTCATACAGTAAGTTATACCATACCCTTAGTCCTTTTTTATTTTCAGATAGCATCTTGCTAAGTTACCAAGTTGTGCATGATGATCTTGTGATCTTCTTGCCTCAGCTTCCCAGGATGCTGGAATTACAGGTGTGTGGCACCATGCCAGCTATATGTAATCCATTTTGAAAAAATTTTATCACAAAAGACCTTTGGGAGAGGCCAACCAGGTTTGTAGCCTGGACGCGGGCTGTGTTGGGAAGTTAGATAAGCTTAATAATTATCTCTTGCCAAGAACTGCTCTCTTCAAACTTAAAAGCGACAATAATTGCTAACACTTACTGATGAATTATTGTCTGAAAGGTGTTGCTTTAAATGGTTCATATATATTCACTCATTTAATTTTAATGATAATCCTATAAGGCAGGGATTATGTTTATGTTACACAAAAGGAAATTACAGTTTAGAGAATTCAAATAATTTGCCCAAGATTAATGAAGACAGTGTATCTGAAGAGTCTAGCTCCAAGGTCTGAATTCTTAATAAACAAACCATCAGCTGTTACATTTGAAAAGTTAACAAGTTTTAGCCAGTTGTGGTAGTGCCAACCTGTAATCCCTGCACTGTGGCAGGATAAAACAGGGAGACTGAAAGTTGGAACCCACCCTGGGTAACTTAGTTAGACTGTCTCAAAGTTCAAAAGAGCTGAGCTGACACTTAGTGGTAAGGCCCTAGGTTCAGTGGGGGGGGGAAGAGCCTCAGATCTTATGATCTCTAAGACAGGACAGTATTTTACGTATATTTTATCACTGGGCCCTGTGCAGTGATTATTTTCACCCCTAACTGCAAGTCAGGAAACTAATTAGAAAAATTAAACACTCACATAATTTGAAAACTCACAGCTAGTGAAAGTGAATGCCAAGACCTTCTCCAAATCTAATCTGCCTAATTACTACCAAAACATGTTCCGATGTTTTTCTGACTGTTAAAACACTTATTAGCTGGGAATAGTGGTGTAGGCCTGTAGTGACTGAGACAGGAAGATTAACAGGGATTTGAGCCAGCCTGGGCTACACAGTTAGTTCAAAGCCAGCCTGAACTATATAGTGAGACCCAGTCTCAAGAAACAAAACACAAACACAAACACACTACTTAATTACATCTAATTCCTTCTATAATTGGAAATCTACTGCAACATATACTTCCTTTCAAGATATTTTAAATGTGTAGGTACAGAACTTCTCAGAGAGGGGACTATTTCTTCTGACATTTCCAAGAGGAAATATAAATTGGAGTATTTACCTCAGATTTGACACTGTGAAGGCAGCAGCTATACAGTGTAATATATGCCTTTTTTTCTTTTTCCTCCCATTTTTAGAATTTACTCTACTGTCCTGGGTTAACTGCTTCTCTTTTCCTATAAATTTTTTGTTGCTGGGTTTACCCTCATTCAAAAATAGTAAGTAATTAGAAAGCCTACTGAAAAATACATTTAGGTACTATTTTGGGACCAAATTCTGCAGTAAAATTTTGCAGAAGAGTAGAAAAATATTAGAAAAACAACAGAAATTTATTGCTGGGCAAGGTGGTGCATACTTGTAATTTCTATTACTCTGGGACACAGATATGAGGATTAAAAGTTTGAGCTTAATCTGGACAACTTAAGGAGACTTTGCATCAAAATAAAATACGAAGGCACTGGGTTCAACCCCCAGTACAGTAAAAAACAAAAAGCTTCAAAATTTTGTAAAAACATATGCCTGAAGCCAAAACATTTTTTTTTCTATTTTTCTATAAAAGTTCTGTCACTAGAGGATTCATAAAAAAGAAAGAAAAACAACAAATAGTTGGGCAATTATAATGGAAATAGTGGAAAATGAAACTTATCAAAAGCATTAATTTTTTAAAGTGGGAAACCACTCCAAAATGGTCTTTAAGGAGGAATAAAATTGGTTATGTAAGTTTTGGCCACCCTACTCCCCCCTTCTACCAGCCTGATATTTCTTTTATGATTTAACTGCAAGTGGCACAATGCCTGAGCTGGGCTAGATTATGCAAAGAATCAGTGGGGACCAGAAGTCAATCTTGCCACCAAAAACCTAAGCTTACTCAGGAAAGGCGACCCTCTTGTCCCAACTCTTATAGGCAATTGGATTCATTTGTGACAATCCTACAACATGGGAAGCAATTTCAAAGAAAAGTAAAAATCTGTTATGATCTTAAAAGAAATAGCAATTCTAGTGACATGTTGGTCAAACAATTTAAATTTCAAAATTCAGAAGAGGAATATTTTACCAACATGTTACTAGAATTGCTATCTGGCATGCATTCTTAAATATTTAAATATGGTATAATCCCAGGAGGGACTGTTTTTGGCAGTATAGAGCTGATACAGAACTGCAAATCTGAGCCTAGTGTGGCCAACTTATTGAGATCCTGTCTCAGAAGAAAACATACAAAAAAGGATGGAGATGTACATGTAGCTCAATGTGAAAGTATAGAGTTCAATCCCCAGGACTGAGAAAAACAAAACAAAAAACCTGGGAGAAAGAAATAACTAGAGCTTAGCCAGACATAATCACAGTGAGAACTACTGCTGTGAGTTATGTATGAATGATGTAATTGATGGTATTCTGTAACAAGCAGATCTGTCCACTGGAATGTAATGGAGTGCACTGTATAGGGTAAGTATGCACAGTATCAAATACACACCACTCAGTCATGTAACTGTTCTATAATTTCCAAACTTTGAAACCATGTAGGTGATGTGGTTAAGCTTCAGAGAAAAAAACAAGTAGAGAACTACTGTGCAAGTCTTTTTGGAAGCACTCCTTTCAATAACTGTGCAGTATTTATAAATTGCCAAGAGGCATAAAGACATCTCTGCTTACAAGAAGACAGTTTCCTATACGTGCTTGCACGCAAACTGGAATCAAACTGAGACTACTGGGAGACATGGTGGTGTACAAGTTGATAGAAGAGGGAAAACTAATGGATAAAAACATAGGAGTAGGTATTTGAAAGACAGCCCATAATGAAAGCGATGAGCAAATAAAAGGTGTAGGAGCCAGAGTAGACTGAAAAGGACAGTGTAGGGTAAGCTCTACAAGTTGTGAGGGAAAATCATGTTATACCAAAGAAGATGTACAAAGTTGTAGCACAGAGTCCTAGGGACTGAAAAATAAGATCAAAAGCAAATTTCTGAGAAAAGCAGGCTAAAGGCTCAGGAGCCACTAATGTTTTGCCACTGTTTACACGAATAATTCTTTTTGGATAGTATCTATTAACTGCCTCCGTTCCTTTCTATTTAGTGAAAAGGTAAGTATCTGAAATAATGGAGTTATCACTTTTGTGGTTAATAAACTGTTAAATAAAAGTCAGTGTGTCTCAGACACTGAAGATATTAATACATGCAAAAGGTATCACAGTCATTCAGTGGTATTTTCACTATCATTTCTGCATTTAGCTTCCATAAAATGTTAATACTCTTTTCTGTTTATAATGTCATTCTGCCCACAATTTTTAAAACTTTAACTCTACTAGCTATGCTCCCGGTTTATCAAAAGCATACTATTTTCTTCCCATGGAAAACTCACCAAAGATCTTGTAAATTACTTGGCACTGGATTCCTGTTCCAATTTGAGTTGAAACAAAGTTTTAAATAGGTGTGGTACTACTCTCTGAATTTCACTTGCTTTCTTGATCAAATAACTAGAAATTCATGAACCACAAAGACTTTATCAAAGGGTTTACAGAAATGACTTTAGCAGCGCCTAAACTTAGCCTGGCCAGGCCTAACAGAACAGACTCTACGTGTGCCCACAACTTTTACTGAGAATTGAGGAGTCTGATAAAATCATTTGTGTTGCCGGGGGTTTAGCTCAGCGGCATAAGTGCCTACTTGGCACACTCGAGGTCGTAAGTTCAAACTCTGGTACAAAAAACAAAACAAAACAAAACCATCTGCACTACACTATTTAGCTTGGAATCTGGTATACATCTTTAATCCCAGCTTCTGAAGAGGTTGAGGCAGGATACAAATTTGAGCTCAGTCTGAACCTGTTTCAAAAAAAAGGTAAAAAGGGGCTGTAAGCTCAGCATTCCCTGGGTTTAATTTTCAGTACTTTGGAAGGAGAGGGTAATGTCATTTTTACTTGCTTTTTAAATGAAGAATCGTAAGTTCCTCTTAATACTTAATTTTTGAGACAGTCTTGCTATTTAGGACAGGCTGGCCTCAAACTCACAGTGATCTTCTCACCTCAGTCTACAGAGTGCTGGGATTACAGGCGCATGCTTCGATGCCTGGCATTAGTATAAATTTTCTTTCCCTAATTAAATGAAGTATTTCTTTTTTATGAGATATGTGTAATAATATCTGTATAATTCTATTTCCTTTTTATTGGGTTGCCAAGAAATTTTGACCTAAATTTTGTTGAAGTATATTAAGAATTCTTAGCTTAGGTTTATATACTTTGATTGTTTTACTAAAACTCCATTCTGCTTCATTTACCTAAATCATGCCAAATCATTTACAGATACTGGAAAAATACAAATGAAGAAGGAAGCATCTGACAATAACAATCTCTATGAATTAGACTTTAAACACTTTACCAAAACATTTATTAATCTCAACATGCCCACATCAAACTGAACAGGATCTTAAAATTAAATAAAAGTATATAACACTTTTATCTTCAAAACTTGGATTGGAAATTAACAGAATACTTCGTATCTTGTAAAACTAAGAGGCTGGGCAGGGTAGAGGCATCCCAGCACTCGGGAGGCAGAAGCAGGAGGACGGCTGGAGTTCAACACGACTATGTAGTGAGTTCAAAGCCAGCCCGAACTGTATACTGAGACCCTGTCTCAGAAATCCAAAAAAACAAAACAAAACATAATAAAAAAACTAAAGAAGGTGGACTGAGTATTTGTTCAGGAAAATAGAATGAAAATGTTACTATTCTAATGTGTTACATCTGTGCCCTTGTTTATTTATTTACTTATTTTTGTCTTTTTTGAGACGGGGTCTCACTATGAAGTTCAGGCTGGCCTTGAGCTCACTTTGTAGCCCAGGCTGGTGTGATCCTCCCACCTCAGCCTCCTGAGTGCTGGGATTACAGGCATGAGCCACCACGCCCAGCTCTGTGCCCTTGTTTATTTCATACTTCATTTTGCCTTGTTTCTAAGATGTAATGTGTTTTTTCTAAACATTGAATTACCATAGAGAAGTGATTTTTAAAGTACTTGTTATTCTAAAGCACAAATATAGAAACTGTAGCTACACAGCTTTTTCCATCAATCATAGGAATGGGTTATTTGGAAATACAAACATTTATCCTCTTGCCATAATTTGAAGACAGTGAAAGTAGATGAAAGTAGATATAACTACAAAAATAAGCCATTAAATTTCTTTTGAGTAAAAATAAAAACTAAGTGTTAATTCAGGGGTGTTAATGTCATAAATTTTTAAAAATTCATATATTTAAAGGAGTCTGGGTATCTCAGTTATTTTAAGAGCTGCTGAACACAATTACACCACAATTATCTAAGTTAGGACAGGCCTGCTTCCAAATTTACCTGATGAGAGATGGAAGGCTGCTGGATGGGCCCCTGCATTCTAGGGTTTGGTAAACCCACAGGTGCCGGCCTCCGTTGCACCTGTTGCCTCTGAGCCATTACCTGTTGCTGCATATGCTGGAGTCGTAATTGAGCTAGGCTGATCTGGGTTGGAAACTTGGATAACTGGTTTGAAGATAAACCACCTGGTGGCTGTGAATTCTGTTCCACGACAGGATTCTGCTTAGGCATTTGTGGCTGGCTTTCTTTATCCTCGATTACTAAAGAACCTAATAAAAGAGAAAATATTTTATTTTTTTATATTTTTGCTGAACTTCAACTACCAAGATATTTTGGTCCTAACTGGGTGTGGTGGTGCCTGCCTGTAATCCCAGCACTCAGAGGACATTGAGGCAGGATTGTCACACATTTGAGACCAGCCTGGGCTACAACATGAGCTCGAGGCCAGCCTGAGCTGCCTAGCGAGACCCTGTCTCAAAGATGGGGGCAGGGGAGAAGATGTTTTGGTCTTTAGGACTTGTTTATATTCTTAAGGGATGGCTAAAAAGTTGTTCATATAGATTTTACTCAAAGTTTGCCATGAGAAAAATTTCTTTTTTTTTTTTGAGACAGGGTTTTTACCACATCTCAGACAAGCCTTCAACTCACTATGTAGCCCAGATTGACCTCCAACCTAGCAATCCTCCTGCCTCAGTCTCCTGAGTGCTTGGATTATAGGCATGTGCCACAATGTCTGGCCAATACGAGATATTTTAAATGAGAATTATTTTTAAAAAGTTAGTAATTTGGGGATTTAGCTTAGCGGCTTAAGTGCCTGCCTGGCAAGCACAAGGTCATGAGTTTAATTCCCAGTACCAAAAAAAAAAAAAGTCAGTAACTCACTGAAAACTAACAAGTCACAGTAACACATTTTAAAATAGGTAGGAGGGGCATTGTTTTACATTTTTGAAAATCTAAATGGCTTCATAACTTACTCTAATCTGTGCATTATCTATCATAATATATACTTTAGGTGAAAATATTTGACAAAATAGCATTTTGTCATATAAATATATACGTCTCTGACAGACAATATGTTAGCTGGTTTGCAACTATAACATTAAGCATTTAAGGGTGACTTTGATCTGATGATACAAGCTTTATGACTTTAGAGACTCGAACATTCTTTAAAAACACAGCTATATATACTGCTTACTGTGTGTTTAGTGCTGTGACAGGTAGGTATATATAAAATGGAATGTTACACGATAAAGCACCTAAGGTTTAAGAGACTGAAGATCTTAGTCCTAAGTCATTAACTGATGCATACAGATCATCAGTATTTTTCCTAGTACTCTTTTATAAAATGTTTCTCAGAAACCATGAATAAATAAGATTGTGAAAGTTGTTTCTAACTTGGGACAGTTATAATGTACATCTCATTGCAAACAAATAAACCAAGCTGTAAATGACAGCTCTTCTAAGTCTTACAGAAAAGGATATTATATAACTTTATTATATCAGAGCTCTTTGCCTCATGTAATGAGATCCTGTTTTTTCCCCTATAGACTCTTCTAAAAACTCATACCCATTTTGTGTGCAGTTTTAAAAATAATTCTTAAATGTTCCTAAACATAAACTGTCATAATGTTTTAAGCAATGTCTCCCTATACATGAGTACTTGTGTGGATTTATAACTTATGATAGGTTGTCAGTATACAGGAATAGAGAGTAGGAATATACTGAGATATATTCTCAGTAAATAGAAATATACTGACTAGTAGCAGAGTAGGGTGTGGAATGGAAGATTGTTTTATATATATGCCTTCTATTTCTAAAGCTGTTTCTAGTAATGTGGGTGCCAGTGTATGATTCCAGTTGCCTACTATGTAAGAATATGTGCATGGCCACATATTGGCCTGCAGGGGTCTCTATTACCTCTGCTTCAAAGATTCTTTATCTTCTCTTGACTAAAAGATACTGTGTAAGGCCATTCCTTCCTTTCCTACTTAGTTCCGAGAGCAGTGACTCACTTTCTCCAGCCCACATTTTTCCCCAGAGTCTAGGGTTGGGGATGAGAATATCTTTGATGACTCTGATGCAAAGTCAATGAACCTTTTAAAAAAAAAAAGATTATCATCAAAGGTAACAGTGGCTGCTGATAAGCAAAGTGGATAGAGAATTCTTAAAATTTTGGTGGTGTGGTTTCCCGCGACACTAAAAAAGAAAGCAAAAAGACTATTTTTACTCAGCTAACAGCATAACAAGCAGTAACTTTATGCTGAACTGCTTGCAAAGACATTCCAGCTCTTCATGTTACCAAGTGACAGTCTCGGTGAAATGTCAAGAAGCTCCATTACTTAAGACTTAGGTCCTCTTCTGCATATATGTTATATACTTCAGTGAGATAGATCAATCCTCCTTCCCTCTAATATGAAAAGTCAAAAGAAAAAATATTTTTCCCTAAATGAGACAAAACAATTGAACTGACAGGTGCCTGACAAATAGGTATAAAGGAAAGTAAGTAAAGAGAAGTATGAAAAGTGATATTTTAACAGAAAATGTTCTAGGTATCAAAACTTCTGTTTAAATGACAGTCAGGATAGAATGTGTCTGACAAATCTAGTGCTAACAATATAATTAAACAGGATTCTATGAGGAGAAAAACCAAAACCTACATCTTGATACACTGTAAGTCATTTTCATATCATCCTGATGATAATGTATGTTTATATTCATGTACACAGATTATCATATACAAATATTAATGACACAATTGTAAAAATGACATGTCTTTACAATTAGATAATATAGGGCCAGGTGTTTAGCTCAGCGGTGTGTCTGCTTGGCAAACGTGAAGTCTTGAGTTTGGTCCCTGGTACCAAAAAATGAAAAATTAAGTTAATATAAATGCTTAGAGGTAGAAGGGCCTATCTTTTCAATAAGCTGTTGTGATCATTAAGTTTAGGTATCACAAACCAATCATGGAAAAATATACATAATGGCCTACCTAAATTGATAATATTTTGGGCCCAGAAACTAGGATCACAGTGAAACTGGATGGTGTTGTTGGTCACTGGGGATGCATCACACCTTGCACGAAGGAGGTGTCGCAACCGGTATGTAATCTAGAAGAAAGCACAGAGGAAATTGAGTATCAACAACTTTACTAAGTAAACATAATAAATGGTTTCTAGTATACACGTTAACACAGTAAACAACCACCTACAGGCTACAAAAATATAAAATATTTCATATGTTCCTTGCAAAACATATTACATCAAAGCTGGGCCTGGTGGCTCATGCCTGTAATCCCAGCAGTTGAGAGGCTAAGGCAGAAGGATTATTATGAGTTCGAGGTCAGTCTGTGCTACAAAGTGAGCTCAAGGCTGTCTCAAAAAACAAAAAAAACAAATTACATTTTTTTTGTCCTAACTCTAATCCATTTAATCACAACCTACACATTCTACCTCTCATTAAATTCAGTTGTCTCTACATTTAAAATACTGTATATGGGCAATCTGACATAAACTCTTTGAACAATGTCAGCACCACTCCCACAAAGCTCTGCATTTAGGAAGCTCTAACTGATCTCCTTTATCCATTTCCTTCCCTCTAACATCTATGCTGGATTCTCAATACAGCAGCTAGAGTGGCTATGTTAAAAATGTAAGTCATATCATGCCACACCTCTCCTGAAAAACCCCTTCATGTTCCCACTGTGCACAGACTGAAGTCCTCAGAGTGAAAGGCGTGCTCTATCTGGCCTCCATCACTTTTCAGACCTAATCTGCTCCAGTACTTCACTCTGACCCAGCTCTCAGGCCTCCTTGCTGACACTTCATAAAAGCTCCTGCATGAGTCTTGGCATGTGCTCTGGCAGAAACCATCTCCCTGAGTGCATGTGTAGTTTGCTTGTTCATTTCCTTTAGCTATCTGTCAACAGCACCTGCTTTCTATGGTCTCTCGGCTAATGAGAGTACATCCTTACACCAGGGTTTCCAGATCGCTCCTCTAATTTACTTTTGTCATGCTGTCTACCTGCACTAAAACGGAGTTGCCTGAAAGCAAAGACTTTCTTTTCCACTCCTTCAGTACTCAGAATGTTGCCTGCTTTAGGGCAGCATTCAATAAGTAACTGTATTCAGCAGTAAACTTGTGTCAATGCAACATTATCTCAAACAACTGTAATAAATTCTGGCTACAGATAACTTATATGGGGATGAAGGAGGGAGACTGTGTGGCACAGGGTTTAATAAGCAGCACTCAATACAATGTGCCTCTCCCCAAAGTTCACTCCCTTTCTTCCCTTTTGGCATCCTCTAACAATCCTGACAATAATAAAAGCTGATAGATAATATGTTAACCACAAGAATTACTCTAAGAACTTTCACTTACAAATAGCTTCATGATTTTATCATGTTCTATAACTTAGTCATTATGTTTAGTTTTTAATTCACAAAAATGGTATATATTTATAATGCAAAACATTTAATGAAATATGTATACTATGGAATGGTGACACTGAGCTAGTTAGTATGTTCATTACCTCACATATTTGTATCTGGGTGAGAACACTTAAAATCTGCTCTCAGCAAGTTTTATAATATACATATTATAGCCGGGCTTGGTGGCTCACGCCTGTAATCCCAGCACTCGGGAGGCTGAGGTGGGAGGATCGTTGTGAGTTTGAGACCAGCCTGAGCTACAAAGTGGGCTCAAGGCCAGCCTGAACTGCATAGCAAGACCCCGTAACAACAACAACAAAAAAGAATATACACATTATAATTAATCATAGTTGACTGTTATACAAACTTTCTGTTGAAGTTATACAAAGTGAAATTTATATCCTTAGATCAACATCGCCCCCACACTCCCTACCTGTTAATCACCATTCTATTCTGTGCTCCTATGAATTCAGTTTTATGCATTCGAGTGAGATCGTGCAATCTCTTTCTGTGCCAGCTTACTTTACAAAGCACAGTGCTCTCCAGGTTCCTCATGCTGTCACGACTGACAGGATGCTACAAGTCTGAGATCCCCACCCAAACTCACAGTGGTGGGATATTAGCAGGTGGGAACCAGAAGAGGTGATTACTCCACCCATGGATTAATGGCTCACCTCAACAGCAGGTCTGTAAAGACAACTAGTGTGGCACTGTTCCTTGCCTCATGATCCTTGTTGCTGCCCTAAACACTGCAGCAGAGTCCCCACAAGCAACCAATGCAGCCCCTTATTCAGTCTCCAGAACCATGGGCCAAAGTAACCTTTTATTCTTTGTAATTTCCCAATCTGGTATTGAGTTATATCAACAGAAAGGGAACTAACAGGATTTCTTTCACTGTAGCTATGTGCTACACTTTATTCATTCATCTGCTGACAGATGCTTGAGTTGGCTCCACATCTTGGTTATTATGAATAGCATTGCCATAAACATGGAAATGCAGGTATCTCTACGACACACTAACTCCACTTCCTTTGGATCTACACCCAGTAGTAGGATTGAGACAGCATGTATCAGTTCTGTTTTTAATTTTTTGAGGACATTTATGTCTTTCGATAATGGCTATACTAATTCACACTGTCACCAGCAATGTTTGAGGGTTTCCTTTTCTCCACATTTTGAATACCTGTCTTCATCTTTTTCACAATAGCCTTGCAATATTTCAAAATTACTTCAAATTGTAGAGAAACTGATAGAACACCCACATTGCCTTGATCAAAATTCCCCATTTGTACCAACTTAATTTCAAATCTACACAATTGCTCCTACACACATCACAAGTTATTACTGATCTTCACTTAAACCTTTTGAGAGAAAGATGCATACACAAAGTCCTATCTCCTATAAACATCCACTGCAAATACTCCCTAACATAATCAGTAAATTCAAATTCTACTACACACTACTATCCAAAGACATCAGTCAAACGATAACCATCCCAGTACTGGCTCTGCTCCATCATGCTATTAAGGAACCAAAGCTGCAGTTGCTTGCCACCTCTCTTAGTTTCTCCGGTCATTTTCTCTCTCTGCTGGACTTTAAAGATTTCAGGACCAACAATTCTGCAGGCTATCTTTTAAAAGGGGATGTGATTGATACTTCCGATAAGACTTACGTAAAAGCACTCTGTCAACAACACCCCATGCACGGTGTGTCAGGATGCAGAAGACATAGCACACAAATTATACAGATGCATACATATATACCTACAACCATTTCTACATTGGCACACATATGGGCATAAAACAAAATTCTCGTTCATACTTAATGCTGCCAATTCCAACCTTAGGGCCTTTTCTAGTCTTTCTAAGTATGCTCTCTGGAAACTTGGCTGCCATTAGTTTCAGTGCATTCCTTTATTACTTAATCCATTTATGATCTGACCAACAGAACTGGAGCCCAAAGGGTGCTGTCTGTCTGTCCTTCTTACCACCTCTTTATTGGCCCTCAGCATTTCATCTTTCTGGCTCCAGCCTATTGCTTGTGCCTCTCCCAATCCTTTGCACTAACCTGTGTCCTCAGTCACTATGCTGCTGCCTCTTTTCACCCTGGAAGGAGAGACACTGCCTAGTTCTTAATTTTTTCTCCTCAGACACACTACTAATTTAGTACTTCATATCATGACTCTAATGTGTGTAAACTAAATAACATTAAAATTTCTGGCTCAGAAAAAATAATGCGAATACTTCCTTAGAAGGAAATCAGTTTTAGTTAAAAAGGAACAATGAGACAAAACACTAGAATGTGAATACTTCTTTGCCCTTGAGGTTCTGTTTTAAATGATTTCTTTCTTTTATGATAAGATTTTATAACTTAGACATCAAGTAACTATTTCTTAATTAAGTTGTAGCAGGTCTAAAAATAGAGTGCTTAGAGTTAAGTATTCCAAGTCCTGAAAGAAAATAACCTCCAACCCAAATTGATGTATCCTAAAAAACTCTCTCTCAAAATTAATGGAGAAACAAGATGCTTCCATGACAAAGAGGAACTGGGGGAGGTCATGAGCACCAAACCAACCCTGCAAAGAATACTGATGGACATTATACAGAGAGTAAAAACAGTTTCAGGAACAGCAGCAGAGGGGGCCCACTGAACAGGGCAGACAGTGGAATGAAGGAGGAAAGTAGACAACCAATGGCAGAAAAATAACATGGAAGAGATGAGGCAGAGAAGGTTGGCCATAATCACTAATATGGATGGCCTCGATACACTAATAAAAAGAAACACAGGCAGAGTGGATTGTACGCTCTATATAAGAAATACAATTAATCGCAAGAGGGTTTACAGACTGAAAGTCAAAGATGAAAAAACAATGCTCTATGTGACAGGCAACTAGAAAAAAGTGAGGGTAGCTTGCATATCAGCTACAGATTGGTTAGAAAGCCATGACACTTTTATACAATGGAAAACTACTCAGCTATAAGGAAATAAAACCTTGAGGCTCTTGTAGGTAAATGGATACAACTTGAGATCATGCTCAGGGGTAAAAAGGTTCAGAATCACTTAGGTGAATAGCAGGTTGCCTTCCTAATTTATAAACTAAAGGAGTTATTGGGACATAAAATGTACAATACACTCTGTGAAAGTGAGGAACTGTCTAAAAAGGGAAGGCAGTGGTCATTGTTATATCTTTTATCATGATTTGAAACCGATATTGTTTTCATTGTTCTGTTTAGTTTAGTTTTATTCTGTTCCAGTTTGTCTACTTGTATTAGATTTGATGGCGTGGACAGCTATTCCAAAGATAGCAGGATATATTATGGTAACCATTTTTGATTTCCTGTTAACGTGATTTGAAGCCCTGTATTGCTTTCACTGTCTTGTTTTGACTAATTTTATTTGATTCTGTTATGTTTGACAGTATTAAGTCTGAGGGTATAGGCAACTATTCTGAAGACAATAAGATTCACTATGATAGCCATTCTAGTTTAACTATTATCTTCTTTTGAAGTCCTATAATATCTCCAAACTTTTTATTGTTTTTATTGATTTTGTTCTGTACTGTTTTGTTTAATTTTTCTCATACCTGACGATGTGGGCAATTCTTTTCAAGATAACAAGAGACATTATGGAAACCATTGTTGATCACCTCGTATTTTGTTTTTAAGCCATGTACTATATGTCCATCCTTTTGACTATTTTGTTTGGTCACATTTGCTTTTATTCTCTTCAAAAAAAAAAAAATTTAAAAAAGTGAACAGTTTGTGCTTTCATTGTTTGATCATGTTTTCATGCCTAAATCTTAACCTAAACAACTACTTCTAAGATAACAATATGCAATTTAATATATTAGTGTTAAATTTTCTGTTTTTTTTAAAATTTTGTATCATTGCTACCCTTTGTTTGCTTTTTAAGATTTAAAAAAATTAAAAAAAAAAAAAAAGGAAAAGAAAAAAGGGCAAAGGATCAGAGCAGCATTTCCTAAATGGAAGTGTGAGGGAAATCCCTTTTTTTTTGTCTTTTTCATTTTTATCGGTATCGGGGATCGAACTCACAACCGCCTGCTTGCAAGGCAGGTGCTTTGCCAATGAGCTAAATCCCCAGCCCCTGGGAAATTCTTGATATTGGCCTTCCTTAGCAATGATTTTTTTTTTTTTTTTTTTTGGGTTATCACACAAAAACTCAAGACAACAAAAAGCAAAAATAAACAAGATACCCAAAATTAAAATGTTTTAGCACAGCAAAGAAAATAAGTAAAAAGCAACTTAAAACTAAAAATAATTGCAAAACCATGTTTGACAAGGGTTAATACTGAAGATAAGGAACTCACATAACTCAACAGGAAAAGCTAAGTAACCTAATTAAAAAACTAGGTAACTATCTGAATAGACATGTTTCCCAAAGACAATAGACATATGAAAAGGCTGAACACTACAAATCAGCAAAGAAACACAAACTCACACAATGAGATACCACCTCACACTTGTTAGTGTGACAATAAAGATGATAGACACGGCAAAGTGAAGACAAGGAGGAAGAGAACTGGGTACTATTTGTGGGACTATAAATTGGTAGAACCACTGTAGAAAATATGGAAAATATGTCGGGCGTGGTGGCTCACATCTGTAATCCCCACACTTGGGAGGCTGAGGCAGGAGGATCACTGCAAATTCGAGACCAGCCTGGGCTACAAAGTGAGCTCAAGGCCAGCCTAAATTGCATAGTGAGACCTTGTCTCAAAAAGACAAAAAAGGCAGAAGATTTAGCTCAGCTGCACAAGCGCCTGCCTTGCAAACATAAGGTCATGAGTTCCATACCCAGTACCAAAAAAAAAAAAGGTAAAACATCCAAAGTGAAAGTCTGCACCATTCTCAGGAAGGCGGGAGAGGGGGCGGGGGGGGGGGGGATGCACTTGGAGGCAGCAGGTCCAGGAGTCTCACCGGGAGGTAATCCTCCCCGGAAGGCAGGGCTATAGGTCAGCTGCTGCCTGAGTGGGGACAGCCACACCCAAGCCTCTCTGAGAGACTCTGTGCCATTCTAGACCTCCAAGGGGTAGTGGGAATCCAGGCCTCACCAGGAAGTAATGGGCAGGGAAACCATATCATCTTCATTGTTTTTCATTATGTTTAATCTGAGGGCAGGAACAGCTATTTGAAAGATAACAAGACATATTATGGTAGCCATTTTTTATTTACTAGCACCCTGTTTTGAAGTCCTTTATTGCACTTACTGTTTTGGCTTTATTGTTTTTATTCTATTCTGCTCTGTTCAATTTTTAACTATGCCTGAAAGTATCTGCAACTATTTTGAAGACAACAAAAGGCATTATGGTAACTTCTGTTGGTTTTATAAGGTTTTGAAGTCTTGTATCACTTATACTGGTTTTTTATTGTTTTTTTTTTTTTTTTTTTTTTTTTTGGTGCTTTTCCCCTCTTGGTTTTATCATTTTTCAAATAAAAATTTTTAAAAAATCCAAAGTGTAACTACCATTTATATCACTCAGTAATTCCTCTGCTTAGTATATTCCCCCAAAAAACTTAAAAACCAGGTAATGATATCTCTGTTTACATGTGCACTGAAGCATTACTTGTTAACAGCCAACATAGAAAAACAAAGTACTCACTGATGGGAGAATCAGGAACCGGGAACTGTGTACATACTAATCTTGTATATAATGAAGTAATACTTAGCCTTTAAAAGGAGTCTGCCATTTGTGACCACAGGAACAAACCTCATGGATGTTATAAGTGAAATTAGACCAAAAATAAGCTAGATGATCTTTTTCTTTGGGGAGAGGTGGTCAAATACAAAACAACTAAGTAGAATGGCATTTACTAGGAGGAAAGAAAGAGCAGGGGTCACAATGTGCAGAAGGAGATCAAGGGTTACAAACTTGCTGTTAGCGTAATTCTAGAACTCTAAGGTACCGCACAAGACCATTTTATATGAATATTAATATCCATAATTGAGTGGTAATTTGCTTCACTGTAATAATTCCACTATGTATGTCAAAACAATGTTTTATTCCTCCATGTATCCTGCATGTATTAGTTTTTAAGAAGAATATAAAACTCATCATTTAAAAGATAATGTAAATAAACATGGCTATATTTGTAAGTTTAAGAACTCATGAACAGAATGATTCTTAACCTTTTTAAATATCTGAGAATAACCCGCAACTGGAGCTGTGTGTGTGTGTGTCAAATCGAGGAACCATTCTACCCCACTGAGCTACATTCCCACACCTTTTATTCTTTTAGACATGGTCCCGCTAAATTGCCTAAGCACAACTCAAATTTCTGATCCTCCTCTCTCAGCGTCCCTCAAAGTTGTGACTGAAAGCGCGTGCTACCACAGCCCGCTAGGCAACTGATTTTACTAACTACAGTTCCTATTAGTCAAGGTCTGCTTGAGTTCCACAGGAGTTTATTAAAGTTTAGAAAAGAATTCAACCAAGAAGCTGTATCATTTAAAAAAAAAAAAAAGAAGATGTATCATTGTTGTGTATGATTCATTGTACTAATTTCCCCTCGGTATGTAATACACAGAAGTATGCTCATCCCTCTGTCTCAGCAGATGGATACATATCAATCCCAATGCTATTTTTATTTTCTCCCACACATTAGATTCATAAACAAAAGAATAAGTTTTAAAATTATTAGGCGGTTGAATGAATGTTTCCCTGATTGTGTGAATTTGTTTTACATACATACACACAAAAATATTCATTATGGGTCAAGTTGAAAAAGTAAAATTATCAATTCTCTTTCCCTCTTTCTTCAGTTTGATTCTCAGAAAAATGAAAGTTGCAGGAAAGAGGAGGTATGCATTAATGTTTCTCCATAAAGCAGTGAAGAACAAAAAGGCTCAGGACTGAGATCTTATTACTGGTAATTTTGAAAGGGAAAAAAAATCATAAAAATTGAATACAATTCATGATTAGGAGTAATTTTAAAAAGTCACAAATCAATACCCAAATAGCCACTCAGTTTTTGAGCTACTTCATAAAAGCTTGTCTAAATGTACATTTCAGTACATTTAGGGCCTAGCATGCTGAAGGCCCTAGGTTCAAAACCCTAGTAACTGACAAAGCAAAAAAACCAAAACCAAATTGTGGGGAGCCACTGTGGATTACTTCAAAAGCTGAGGTGTCTTAGAGGACACATAAGGGCGTCAAGACTCCTGTCTGATGCAGGCCCATAATGGAGTACACACATGACTTAGCACAGACAACTGTACATGTGCCATATGGTTATGACAATAAACCTTGATAATAACCAATACATACAAACCAGACAATAAAGATGCTTTCTGTTGTAGATGTTTCTGATATCTGCTCCAAGTGCTTTCTTTTCCTTGGGGACTTCACCAAAGAAAATACCCCTGTACACCCCAGCCCACACACAAAAATACAGAACATTTCCTTATTTTAACTGATATAGACACTTTGTTACTTTACTCATAAAAACTAGACTCAGTGACAGAAAACTGATTTGAATGTCCTAACACTTTAGGGTACATCTCTGCTCTGTGTTTTTGTAGCAAGAACCAAGAAGATACTTAACCACCAGAAGCCAAGATGTATAAACATTCTTAAAAATTCTTGCTTGGCTTCACTTTATTAAAAATCTAATTGTCTCCATGACTAGGAACATTAGCATCAGGGCTCGTGTTGGAAACACACAGCTTGGCCTATGCCAGACCTGCCAGACCAACATCCCCTGGTGACTCACATGCAGTAACCATGCATTCAGATTATAGCCACAATAGCTCACGAATGGAAAATGCTTAGAATTAGACCCTGGAACCTATGAGTGAGCAATAAATGTTTACTATCATTATTTATTTATTATTTGTATTAACTTCAACTGCCATAAAGACAGAGTAACAGAAATGACAACACATTAAAATTGAAGGTATCCTAAAACATGCCAGTTAAATATTTCTCATCAATTAATACAACCAATATGTACAAAGCATCGAAGCATAAACAGATTAATGTGCGTATTGTTTTGCATTGCCCAGACTGGCCTCGTATTTCCAAGTATAAGCAATCTTTTGCCCCTGTCTGCCAAATAGTTGAGACTACAGGCCCACAGCACTGTGTGTGGCTCGTTTCTGAACTTTAGGCCTCCCAATGACTCTCCCATTTTCTTGTACCTTTTTAAAGAACATTAAGCACCATGCTGCATCTTACCAGTCGCTTGCTATATAGTAATGCAGTGCTGCTGCCACTGGAAACTGCCCATTTAGAAAAATGCATAACGTGCTCCAGCTGCTTAGAAAGCCCAGCCACTTCTTGCTGCTGCTGCATAAGTTTCATGCGATGGTCCTTTGCAAGGCTCTGAAGAAAAGACAGAAGTTTCAAAATCAGCCTCTCTACCTAACGTTCATTTCAATGGTCATGTTCAGGTAAACAAATTAGACCATCCTTTCAATGGACTCAATTAACAGGAACTGAAAATGTTCTTAGCATTTTCTCCCTTAGTACAAGTGGTCATGTTCACCCTCACAACAAAAACCTGCATTTCCAATGTTGCTTCCCAATTTTCCCACCCTTAGCCTCCAGTCTGGTTTTACATATTCTGGGCTTTAAGTCTCTTATATATCCATCTTGCCATATACAAGATGGACAAAAATAGTGGGTATGGTGGCTCACTCCTGTAATCCCACCATTCTGTTCTGGGAGGGGAAGGAAGGAGGATACCAAGATCCAGCTCAGCTAGGATAATATATGCAGGTGTACACTTAACACTAAAAATGGGGATGGAAATGAAGGCCTAGAGTTCAATCCCCAGTACAGGGAGGGGTGAGAAGGAGACACAAAAGCATGATTAACCGTAATAGAGTAAATATAAACTCAACATTCATGAATACAATAGATGTACAGTCCAGAGACCTGGTAAAGTTATCACTCCGATGAGTTAGTCACCTATGATTTTACCTTTTAGAGAGTCTAGTCTTAATTAAGTGTTACCTTGTACCCAGAATTATACAGTGTGGTAGATAACACTTATCCTTTTCATGTGCATCCAAAAACAACCAACCTAGTCTATTATTTCTCTCTCCCAAAAATGATCATAGGAGGCAACAGATACAATGAATAAGTGTGTTAATGCACTCTCAGAAAAGCAACCAAAACCCCCTATTTGACCTGGCAATGAAAAGAAAAGAGAAAGGAGCTTTCCTACTGGCTTGGACAAATAAAGCACCTCCTCCAACTTGGACTTATATTCTCAGGAAAGGATAAACTTAGATATCTGCTCATGTCTAGTCCAAATTTGGAATTCATGACAGCTAACCTGAAAGACAACTGAAGGGATTGTTTAAAAGTCAATGGCTTCCTGTATTTTCAGAGAGAAAACAATTTACCTAATAAGGAATTTCTGACTTCTTGAACTCCTCTAAGTGTTCTTTAGAAACAATCTAATGAAAATAGAAACTTGTTGACTTTGGGAGAGGTTTTAGCTTGAAAAACAGGTCCATGGTACCTTAGTCTTTTACATTAACAACTAATTGGATGTAGGCAAACAAAACTGATTACATTTACTTGCCTTAAAAAGGATTTTGTACCAGGAAAGGATATGAGATCTAGATATTTAAAAGGTAATATAATAAAATATAAGTCAAAGTTGATTAAAAATAATACAATGACCAAATTTACTTTTAAGGTTCAGTAGTTTGGTTATAGTTATTTCATTATCCTTTTGATTGTGATCTACAATATTCTGGAAACAGAGCCACAGTAATGTATAAATCAATAATCTTTGAGAAAACAAAAATCCCATTTGTTGAGCAGAGCTTTAAAAACTTCAAATTTTTACATGTATTTTAAAAAAAGCTACAAACAACAAAACAAAACTGTAGAACATTGAAAAGCAGTTGTTGGACTTGATAGTGAACACCTGTAATCCCAGCACTCTGAGGCTGGGACAAAAGGATTGCACAAGTTTGAGGCCAGCCTGGGCTATGTGGTGAATTAAAGGACAGCCCAAACTATACACTGTCTCAAAAAAAAAAAAAGAAAAAGAAAAACATAGTTAACTATAAATGGGGTAAACGGGGTCTAATTTCTTCTGCACAAAATGTTTCCTTACTAAATATCTTTTTCTAAAAGAAGAGATAATCTTTGTTTCCTATATTGTTTATAAATTACGGGAACGATTTTAAAAAAGGCATAGAACTTTCAGAAAGGCATTATTTTTCTCAATTCTTCAATTCCTAGATAATTTTATTTGCCTATTAATCTAAAACTGCTGCTTCACAACCATGAATTCTTTCCGTATTGGTATACTAAAATAATAACCAAAGATCATCAAAGTGATATCTATAAATGTTAACATATAATATATAACATGTAACCTTATAATATTTAAAGTCAAACATGAGTTTTGGGTGTTGACCTTCTTGTTTCTAAAAACATTGATGAAGATAGTAATATTTTTCTTACCTGCTGTTAGAAACAACTGTTCTAAACTGTCTTCAATACTACTCTATAAATCCTGTTTATAAGATTAAGATTATAAAATGTTTAGGGCAGGAGCTACATTATTTTACCTAATTTTTCACAAGGTTAAATAAACAACCATGTATTGCTTAACAGTGGGATACACATTCTAGGAAATGCGCCATTTGGCAATTTCACCACGGTGTGAACACCACAGTAACTTCCCAAAGCTGTGACGGCTAGGATGCCACTACACAATGCAATCTTAGGGACCACTGTTACACACATACTATGCTGTTGACACAACCATCACTAAGTGGCACGTAACTGTATGTACTCAAAGACTACATGTAATTAAGTATATCTGTCTAGAAAATTTCACTTAACTCCACACCTTTTGCAATGCAAAACTGTCATTTCAATGACTCTCTACAAAGACTCATCTCTCAACATTTGCAGACCTTGAAGCACAGCTATGCATCTTTGCTGTGAAGCAAACAATGAGGTGTGAGACATTCAGAGTATATAAAGGTATAAATACGAAGAACTTGGCAAAGGAAAACTCAGGAATGGAGAAAAAATGATACATCAAAAATGGAAATAATTATATGAAAAAGACTATTACCCTGAGGTCACAGACACATTAAAAATACTAGACTGACTCAAGCAACACAGAACTATTGCCTTCGAGAAGTAACTCACCTCTAGCTGGTGCAGCAAAGCTTTGCCTTTTTTATTTATTTCTACCATCAATGTAAAGATAGCAACTTTAATATCCTGCTCCACTTGCTTTTGATTTTGGTTTACTTCAATTATTCTGGAAGATAAATGAAAGAGAAAATCATTTAAAAACCAGAGACAGTTTTTCGTACAATATTTAATATGGGTATTTTAATGGCTAAATTAGACCAAAATATTTTCAATTTTCCCAATCTTTATTTTAGAAACCTTGACACTCATGAAGGGAATGAATTCACTGGGGGCAGGGGGGGGGTGTGGTTGGAAAGATTATAGTGATTCTCAGAATACTACAGTGCACCAAATTGGGATTTATACACAAGAAACATTTGGCACGGTGTGGTGGTTCACACTTGTAATCCCAGCACTCGTAAGTCTGAGGCAGGAGGATCGCAGCAAGTTCGAGACCGGCCTGGGTTACAAAGTGAGCTCAAGGCCAGACTGAATTGAATAGAGAGACTCTGTCTCAAAAAAAGATAAAAAGAAACTTTGGAAAAAGTTTTGCTGTATTCACTGCAATTAAGGGGCAGTAAAGAGTACACATGATACTCTGATCTTTAGCATGTGAACTGATACAGTTTTCAGGTCAGTTCAACAGTCTTTTCAACAATGATGCTAAAAGAATGAACATCTAGATCTAAACTTTGGGCTGGGGATGCAGCTGAGTGGCAGGAAGCCTGGCTAGCACATACAAAGAAGGCTCTGGGTACTGTCTGCAGCACTGGCTGAGGAAAAAAGTTAACCTGGAACAAAGCTCATATCATATGCACAACAGAAGAATAAGAAAAAGATAGATCGTTTATTTAAAATTATTTCATAATTCCTACCTTTGCCACTAGATGGTACAACTACCTTGAATTATGTCTACTCATTCAGTCATCACTCAGAGTCAAAAATCTTAAAACCTACCAATACTGTATTTGGGAGAATACACTACTCTGATTACTATATAGTGAAGAAATCATATTTGGTTAACCAGAGTTATGTGAGAGAAAAAGCTTTTTTAAAAAAAAGAACAAGGAGAATATTTTTTAAAAGGATAGGGAGCTGATAAAAAAGTAACAAAAACTAAAAAGCACACAATACAGTATATAGTAACATTCATATTAACATATGAATACATACAATGTATATTAATGACTTCATCCCTATAATCCCGGTATTCAGAAGGTTGAGGCTGGAGGATCACTGTGGAGCTCAAGGCCAGCCTGGGCTACACAGTGATGAGACCCATCCACCAGTCAATACAACTTATATTACTTTTACAATGAACATTAATTACATAATACTAAGATATAAATAAAAAGTAAAAATCACATGTAAGAATGTCTTTTAAGGAAATCTGGTAATATACAGGGAACTACCTTTAAAAAATCCCAAATTACTAAATGCTAAATATGTTCCAAAATGTTTAGAGTAACATTATGATGAACCACAAAGGTTGATACAGCTTCCCCAATATACAAAATTAAAAACCCCTGCAAGACCTCTTTTACTTTGGCTCTCTATTCAGAATTGCCAGACCTATTTAGGGAGTAGCATGTGACTTCTGCATGCAAACAAAAAGACAGGGATATAAGATTTAAATGTGTTAAGGTGCTAATTAAATGTCACCGTGTGCCCTGAAAGGGATAAGAAAATGGTTAGATACCACACTCCCCTCAAAAGATAGTGGTCTACTTCCTAATCAAAGAATTCTGAGACGTGCACCTTTGGACAGCTGATCAAATCCACAAACTATTATGCACTGTATCAGGCAATGAATAAAAGGTATGTGAAATAGGTTAACAATCTCTACTCTCCTCTGGTCCTAAAATTCCCACTTCTTTTCAATTAAAAGATCACACAGCTTACAGTGTTGAGGGGAACAGAGATCAAATGCTAATTATTTTATAACACTAGCAAAAATAGTTGAATGTGTTTAATTAAGTATTAGAATTTTTTAAGTATTAGCATTTCTTTGAAATTGGAAAACACAAGAAAATTATAAATTATCAATACATACCAAGTAAATTAGCTATTACTATTTATTATAACGTGTTTAAAATTTCATGGCTTAAAAACATACTTTCCAAGTGCCAGGCGTGGTGGTGCATGCCAGTAATCCTAGCACTCGAGAGGCTGAGGCAAGAGGGTCACTGAAAGTTCAAGACCAGCCTGGGCTATAAAGTGAGCACATGGCCAGACTGAACTGCCCAGTGAGACCCTGTCTCAAAACAAACAAACAAACAAACAAAAACCCATACTTTCCAACCCAAAGTTTCTAGCACATTTTTATCAACCATGTATAGTCATTGGATAGCGTACTACTCCTCTACTTACCTTTACAATGACTCAAGGAAAATGTTCTCTTCCACAAACAAACACACATTACATATATTATAGAAACATTATTTGTGATAACACCATAAATGCAAATTTACCTGTTTTGGATCTGATTGCCCGTATATTTTATGTATTTTGTTTTTTCCATCAGTTTTGTGATTAGTGTATCTATGATCACTTTCTGATTCTGAAAAGCTTCTTCAATAAATTGATATCTAAAGAAGGAAAGAAAAAAAAAAGTTTCATAAGTCTGTATAAGATGGTCATATCGACTTCCGGGAGAACATGGTGGAAAAATAACAGCAGCCACAGAGGCTCTCTGAGATTACCAGCTTAGAATCCAGGAGCAGTGCTGTGAGAGGGGAGATGTACCTTGCTGACAGAGGAACAAAGTAAGCTGAGAGAAACCAACTGGAAATGCAATCCTGATGCTATAACAGGAACAGATAAAATCTCACTGCGGAAGCTGGATCCTGTGCCATTGGAAGCCGCGATCTGAATTTCCTGCTGCCGATACTGCGGCCCAATCCGCACAGCAGGGAGAGAGGCGCACGAAAGCTGAGCGCGGGAATTGGCCCAAACGGCATTGAGAGCGGGACTGGCAGGGAGCCCTGCATCGACCTGCGGTGAGTGAGAGAAATGGGGACACTTTCACAGACTAGGAGCCTCCAACGGAGGACATTCTGTGAACAAGCAGACTAGCCAGAACAGGCCCTGCAGTGACTTTAGTCGCATATTCCCCTCTCAAGCGGGAGGGGTGGGGAGCGCTTGGCCTGGTGATGCCGCAGACTAAGATCCTGTAGGCTAGCCCAAATCAGGTCCCTGTGCCTGGCGGTGCACCCTAGCAGTGAAACATTCAGTAGGTTTACCTGGAGGGGCGGGCCAGCAGAGGCTGCCCAGGTCTGTGTCTCCCTAGTGCACTGCAGTGGGTGGGAACACCTAGCCCGCAGATTCAAACAAACTGCAACAGACCAAGAGAGAAAAACAAAAACAACAACAAAAAAAACCTGGGCCTCCTACAGACGCTTATATGGAAGGAACAAAAAGTATGGGAAAAGGGAGCAACAAGAAAGGGTCCTCAGTCCCCAATCCTGAGAACACCGATCCAGGAAAGGTAAAAGCAAAAGAGAATGAAGACAGAAAACATGCAATATCAGACACGGCACCTATAGATATAAAACGGTATCTCCGGAGCCTCATAGACCAGTTCAAAAATGAAGTATTTAATGAAATAAAGCAAGAAATAAGTAGAATAGTTAGAGAAATGCTAAGCACCGCCCAAGAAAAAACAGATGGTGGAATGGAAGAACAGAAAAAAAGGGGAGAATTGTTTGATGGAGAAAATAGAGAAAACATAGAATATGTGAAGCAGATTCAAAGACATTACAAGGAAACTAAAAACTATTGAAAGCTGGCATAACAGCTTGAAAGAAACTAAGGATAGATTATCAGAACTGGAGGACAGATTTGTAAAGTAGGAGCATGAAATGAAAAACTTCTTAAAAATAACAAGACAACAAACAGCAATACAAAGACTAGAAGATGACAAGATGATCTATAATTTAAGAATTAAGAACATAAAAGAAGAAGTAGGGACTCAAACAAATGAACTACAAAAGTTATTCACAGAAATAATCCAGGAGAATTTCCCTAATTTAGCAAAAGGTAAAGATACTCAGATGTATGAGGCATACAGGACCCCAGCCACCTACAATCCAAACAGAGCTACACCCAGGATTATAATAATCAAAATTCCAGAAATCCAATATAAGAACAGAATATTAAAAGCCATCAGAGACAAGAAACACATCACTTACAAGGGAACACCCATCAGAATTACAGCAGACTTCTCGGTACAAACCATCAAATCATGAAGAGCGTGGGGGGAAATAATTCAAGCTTTGAAAGATAAAATAACCTCCAGCCAAGATTGATATATCCTGCACAACTGTCCCTAAAAATTGATGGAAAAACAAGGTATTTCCAGGATAAAGAGGAACTAGGGGAATTTGCAACCACCAATTCAACTCTACAGAGATTACTGCAGGATATTCTAAAAATGAAAAATACCAAGATTCCAGAAACAGTGGCAGAGCGGCCACAATGAATGGAGCAGAAAGCGAAATGAAGAGAACAAACTGACAACTAGTGACAGAAAAAAAGCTCAACAGAAATGAGGCAGAGAAGGTTGGAAATAGGTAGTGCTGATTTAATATCCTCTTGTTTTGAAGTCCCATCAAGCTTTTGTTCTTCTGTCTCCATCGGTTTTAACGTGTTGTATCTTATTGGATTTTATTATATGTGATAATATAAACAAAAAACTTTTATAGACAAGGAGATTATAACAGAAACCATTGTTCATTTTCTGTTAGTTGATTCTAAATACGCTGTAATACTGTCAATTCTCTTGAATGGTTTTACATTGTCTTGATATGTTTGATGCTACAGTATACAAAGTTATACCCAAAGATTTTAAGGGAAGAGACACTATGGTAACTACTATTATGTCGAGATTATCTTGTGGTGAAACACTATTTTGCTTAAATGGCTATGTTTTGACCTGCACTGCTTTGTTGTTATGCCCTCTTTTTTTATCTCAATCTCCTTCTTATTATCTACTTTTTCATTTTTATCCTTTTAATTAAGGGAAAAATAAATAAAAAATAGCAGGATATATTTTAGTAACCCACTTTGATTTCCTATTAACTTGATTTGAAACTCTGTATTGCTCTCACCATCTTGTTTTGACTGATTTTCCTCTATTCTGTTATGCTAGATAGTACCAAGTTTGAAAGTCTAGGCAACAACTATGAAGACAATAAGATCCATTGTGATGCCCATTCTGGTTGACTATTATCTTCTTTTGAAGTCCTCTAATGTCTCCAATGTTTTGGTTTTATTGGTCTTATTCTTTACTGTTTTGTTCAATTTTATTATAACTGACGATATAGGCAATTCTTTTTAAGATAACAAGAGGCATTATGGTAACCATTGTTGATCACCTTGTATTTTGTTTTTACATTATGTAGTGTGTCCATCCTTTTGATTTGAGTGACTCTCTTCTGTTATGTCACATTTGGTTTTACTCTCTTCAAAAAAAAGTAATAAGAACTGTGGGAGTAATAAAACCCAAAATGTGTAATAGTCATTGTACAAAAGAAAGGAAAAGAAAGTTCTCTAAAAGATATAACTGCATATATATTTAAGTGTATAAGATAGATAACCATATTACTGAGTTTTGTTGGATTATTGAACAAAACTGCAGTCTCACTGTTTGAAAGTCCCCTCTATATGCTTTAATTTTGTAACTTCAACAACTATTTCTAAGATGACAATATGTAATTAACTAGTGATTTCCTACTGTTTATTTTTTCTGAAATTCTGTATAACTTGTACCCTTTTTCTGGTTTTTTTTTTTTTTTTCTCCTTAAATAAAATTTTTTTAAAAAGTCTGTATAAAATAACAGAAAATCAAAAACTTAAACAGACTATAACAAATATTTTAAAATACCAAATGTATGCTAGAGTGTATGTTTTCTCCTTCAATTTATTAGTCAAGAAAGTGGGATAACATCTACAATATATAAGGAACTTTAAAAAAAATCTAATACCCAAAATTTAAAGACCTAATTGAAGAATGGGCATGTGAAATGAACAGAGACTTCTGATGAAGAAACAGAAACAGCAAATAAATATATGAAAAAAGGTTAAACATCACTGGTTACTGGAGAAATGCAAATTAAAACCACACTGATGCATGCCTGAAATCCCAGCACTCAGGAGGATCACAGCAAGTTAGGAGGCTACACACACACACACACACACACAATGCAGTACAAGTGTGCCACTGAGAAGAATAAATTTGAGTCATTTTTCAGCAAATGGATGGATATACCTTGACACCACATGTTAAGTGAAATATATCAAATACATAAGTTTAAGTTCCACTTTGTTTTTCTGGTGTGAGAAATCAAAAGGGTAAATAGGGAGCAAATTGGGGACAGACATTGGGAAGCAGGATAAACATGTTCAAATGGTAAGAGGAAGGAAGAAACAAGGAATTTTTTAAAAAGAAGGTAAAGGAAACATGGAGACAATTTTTAAAAATAGGGAGAAAAGGAAAGTTGAAGGGAGGAGAGAACTGACTAAAAAAATAATTGAGACATCAGGTACAGGTATAAATGCCCTATAATGTATGGTAAATACATAAAACAAAAAAAGGCCCCTCCAGAAAGGGGTAGGGTGCTAGACCAGGCATAACCTCACATGTCTGTAATTCCAGCAGAAAGGTCACCGTGAGTTTGAGACCAGCCTGCACTATCCAGTGCGTTCAAGGGCAGCCTGAATTATATAGTGAGACGCTATTGCCAAAAAGCAACCATAAAAATGAGCATGTATAGATATTACTGATGGAAATGACATTATTTCAGAAGCTTAAGAAATATATGACCATCATTCAGGTTTTAGAGGCTTATAAAGCTTATCTGGCAAAAAGTGATAAAAGATGTATTTATAGATTTACTAACCATTCTGTAAATTCCTAAGTATGAAAGTTTGCTGAAAATAAATACTAAAGATCACTTTTAAACAGGCCTATTTGCAGAGGACATAAACATATTACAAACGTAAGTGTTCCTAATAAACTGAGAAGGGTGGGTGATGCAGAGCCTGAAGTACTATGTGATAAACCCTCAACAACGCTTGTATAGTACTTAAAAATACGTATCAACTTGGAAGGGAAGACAATTTATTTTGGCAAACTATGTCAGATGATGCAAAAGATCTTAAAAGACAGGCAATAATGTAGAAGATCACAAAGTTTTATTTATATTTTTTCATAAAATAGATACAGCATTTCTAAGTATTTTACATAATATGAATTTAAATGTGTAAATAAAGTCAGTATTATAAATAGTTACTAGAGTTATTTAAAAAAGGGATAGTCAATACTTCTATTAGATTTCCTTGGTACATAATCATAATCTATTACAATGATATTTAAAATTCTTAGAGAACTCAAACTTTAAAAAAATTTTAGACATGATCAACATGGTTATCCTATGTTGTTCTTAATCTTAGCATAAAAACTTCTCAATATTCCATTGAGTATGATGTTGTCTAGTTACTTTAGTAGATGATCATTAGGTGTTTTATTCCTAGTTTGCTAAAATTTCATGTCATTAATATGTATTTAATGTTTGCTGAATGTTTTCCT